TGCATCAATTTAACGAGATGGAAAGTCATTAAACTTTTACTGCAAATCTATTGACTCTCTCTCTTTTTTTTCAACTCGTGCCACAATATTTGTTTAGCACGGCACAAGCAATAAAGTTGAGGGAAATCAAAGTCCGAATTGCCAAGAAGGCAAACCCCTCGTGGGATTTTTTTTTCTCCACACTTTCGGCACGCGGAGACTCAGTTGCGAAAATACAATTTGCAATAAACTACGTGTAAGATTTCACTCCAATTTATCAAATGCCTCTAAGCAGACACCATAATATTGCACACGGAGCGAAATGAGGATGAGACGTTTTGAAATAAAACACTCTAACGACAGCACTGTGCAATTTTTCACATGTACGAAAGCCAGACAGTCACCAATGTGCGGAAAGCTATGTGTTTCTATTCCTGGACGCGAGCAAGGGAGAAATAGTTCAATATATACACTAAATTTCCGTGTTCTTCCTGAAGAGAAATTATTTTCACGGCGTCTTCTGCAATAAACCAACAAAGAGAAATAAATCTGAAGGTTTAAACATAATTCCGCAGCGATGTACATCACTTAAAACCACGTGTCCTTCCCTTGAGCGCGCGTCTTTGAATTCTTTGCCGGCGGAATGGGAAGTGAGTGAATCAATAACATTGACAAAATGGAAGCTAATAAGCTGCGGCAGTGAGATGAGAATCTCGACAGAAGACGAGCAAATGGATGTGAAATTGTCGTGAAGAAGTGGTAAATTATGCAGAAGTACTCTCAAGATGTAGAGAGACTCTGGCACCCCGTCATTTAATTGCATCCAATTTAGGAGAGACTCTTCGCCTTCTAAAATGCATTAAATCGCCCAACCATTCTTCTCTCTCTGTCTGTGACACACAAAATTGGCTGCAATTATAAGCACGGAGCTCTCGAGGAAATTGCTCACATTACATCCTCTCTCGTCGAATGGCTTTCAATTCCCGCGCCATCGCGTGGAAAAGATATATCATAAAATTGCATCTGATTGGATTAAGTGATCTTCACAAATAGACGACCTCCTCATCTCGGATGTCGTCTTGGTCTGCTCTGGGTATGAAGAATATTCGCCCTTTTCCTCTGGGGATGCGGCAAAATTGACGGCGCGCAGTTTGAGAAGGATAATATTTAGTTTGCGCGCTGCAAAATGGATTCTCACGCGATATTTGCCCCGAAAGCTTTCGACTCAATCAAGCGGAATATTTGATTATGGAAGTTTCCATCGGAAGAAAAACTTTAATTACTCCCTCAATGATGGGGTTAAAGCACACTCAAAGTAACAATCCTTCGCTGGGGCAAGAGCGATAATTGGTGAATCCTCCTGCATGAATAAGTTTTCCCTCTGTGAATGCTTACTCATGTGCAATCAGAAACTTTCGTCGTAATTCTTCTTCGCCATACTTTCCGATGATAAAGAAATGTACGATAAAAATTGATTTTACAAGAGTGCATCTGAAGAGCACAGTGTTTTGTGACACTGTGAAGCCCTTAAGCAGACACGATGAAATTAACACTTTAATTCATTTTAATATAACCCGCATGCATAACAAGGTCATTGAGTATGAGCTTTAGCTGCTCAAAAGCTCAGCAAATACACATTTTCACCCATCAAACTGGATTCATTAGTGAATGAGAAAACTTTCCCATCAGATTAAAATTCATTTGAGGGCTGAAATGAATATTTTTGCTCGTAATTGGATACTTTTGAGCATGCCAGAGAGTAATTATTTGCTGGAAAAATTGCCTGTGTAAAATCCCTTTCAAAAATCCTCAATAAATCAATATGTTTCAACATAATGGAATCAGTGTGGGATTATTTTTTTTCTCGGACAATCTCCACAATCACCCTCTTGGAAAGAGAGCTTTTGATGAGTGTTTACAGAGATGCAAAAATAATTGCGGCAATGTTGCGATGCAACGTTGAAAAGGGGGGCGAATAAAAATGGGGGTGAAAATCATGGGGAAAAAGTGACTCAATAAAAATTCCTCCCAAACTTGCTGAATTGAGCTTTTGTGGGACTTTGCCTCTTTTTTCTCTGTTGATCTTCCACCACTCTTTTTGCGTCCCGCCATCCGCTGAATAATGAATTCATCGCACAATCCCAAACAACTGCATCGAACTCTCCATAGGGCTATTTTAATAGATCCACCCTCAATCCCAGTGCGCGCGGTGGGAAAAGTGCAGAAATCGTGCTTTTTCGTTTGCTCACCGCCCCACAGAGACTCTTCCTGAAAAGCTCAGCTCTTGTGTCAGCCACTTAATTTGCAAGAGAGAGGAGGAATTGAGTCCTCGCCCGTAATCCAACACAATCCCACTTGTCGGCCAGGAGTATTATTCTTTTGATGTGATAATTTGAAACTCAATTAGCAAATCGTGCGCCATCAATAGGGAAATTTATGCATGTATTTCTAATTGGGAGGAGCACAAAATGAAACATTTCACAAGCATCGCAATGATTTCCCTAGTTGTCGACAAATTCTATCACTTTTTTCCACCGTATATTCTACACCCAAAAAGCGCTTCGGTCAATGAAAAATCCCTCTAATGACTTTTATGGATGGTATTTTAGTGCATCGCGCAGTGATAAAAACACTTAATCTATCGGAAAATCATTGGACAGCAAAGCGACTGCCATTAATTCCTGATTAGCACGTCAAAAGCTCGCAATCGTGGTCGCTTTTTACATCAACACTATAACGATGACCAGTAAAAGTTGAAGAATGGCGATTGCAATTAGTTGTGATTTTATTAATTACCGCCAATTTAATATGGACATAAACTCATGAGCTCCGGTGCTGACCTCGCAATCTTCAATCAATCGATCAATTCAGGTGTGAAAGACGCCCTGGGAAGTTTTAATGACGCCTCAAGGGGTGAAGTCTTCAATTAATGACACTATTTCACTCATTTTCCACTGGGAAAAGACTCGGTGGAAATCTTTTGTGACAATCCAATTTTCTCACTCCGAACATAAATTTATCTCGACCAGTTTCTCAGCCAATTTCAATAAATCGTACCTCTTCAATTTCAACTTTTTCTTTTAGGGGTGTAAATGCTAAAAATAGAATGAAATGTACCTAATTTGTCACTGAAAAATCTACCTAAAATCTGAACTGCTTTTTAGGCCATTACCGACACCAAAGCCATTGCACTTTGATTTGTGTCCGCCTTTATACAACATTCTTCTGCCTCACCTTTTCTCGTGTCCGGATGCGGAGAGGCGATAAGGAATCCCGAGCTTTTCCGTTTTAACGTATTTCCGTTTTGTGGCGAGTGAAACTGAAAGGGAGTTGGAACACTTGAAAATTACGACGAATCTGCTGGCAAGAAGCTGTTAAGGTGGAGGCGAGATAACAGTTTGCCATTTGTTTAAAAAGAAGCCGCACATGGCTCGAAAAAGAAACACCCTCTTTCCCTTCTTGTGGAGCAGTTGGAAAAGAATTCGGGCGGGAAAACGAAACGTCGTGGGTGGAAATATACCCACAGAATTAAACTTCCAGATCGAATCGTGCTATTTTGACCTGGAAAAAGTCTGCCGCACCTGAAGAAATTTGTGGGTTTTTTTTTCTTTCTTTCTTTAAAGCATATCTTCCTCTCATTGTGCCTACCGATTTTCTCTGTCTTCAAGCGAAGACATGTATTTATTAGAAAATTCCTCGCTCAAAGACAAATTCACCCAGAGAGGGAGGGATAAAAGGACTTTCTGGGCTTAAAATATGCAAATAGATATCAATTCTTGGGATCATTGGATCCTTTTCACAACTGGAGACCACATTAAACACTGCGAGCAATTGAGCTTCCAATTAGTAATGTTGGAAATCCACATTCATAAGCGCACAAATGATATGGCATGAATGGGATTCAAATGCAAACTGGGTGTGTAACTTGTAATTCTCAAGCTGGGGAATGAAATCAAATGGCCAGAGGCTCTTGAAACGGAAGCTTTTGTACCTCATCCGAATGTAATGTATTTGCAGGAATTTTCCACCCTGCAATGCATGGAATAAGGAATAATATTGATCTAATTAATACATATACCTAATGCAAAGCTGCCAAGGACACAAATCCGCACTATTTGCTCTTTTATTTAATTTTCCACATTTACTCAACCATGATTTATCAATAGGTTGGCAGAATTAGTTATGCAATTTCAATAAATCAACATACGCTCGGTGGTATTTCGACTGACAGTGCTTTTTTCATGCAAATAGTCAACCCTTCGTGTGCTGCACGAGAGCTGACATTTTTTTTTCTGTGCCAAGAGGGAAAATTCACTAAAATATTTAAGTGTATTGAATTGGGAATTTATAGAATGTGGATATTATGCAAAATCCATTAGCAATTACAATAAATTTTGAAAAAAATGGGCCAAAATAGATTAATCGAAAAATCAATGTGCGGATTTTCACATGAATTCGTTGGCAGAATATGAAATTTCTGCCACAAAAGTGTCGTGCAATTTTTGACAAGGGAGATAAAAGCTCTCCTTGGCGGTGCGTGTGCTTTTGCACCCCATGCGAAGGAGTTAGGGTGGGAAAGAAAACAAACCATGAAAGAAGAACCACTTCGGAGACATTCAATATTCAAGGATATTTCCGTCGAATTTCCTGGAGAGTGAAACGGCGAAAGTTATCCCATTTTGGATACAAATGAAATTTTACCGAGTTGTGCTTTTCTCTGTTGAGGAAATTTTCGTGGCGGAGGGTGGAATAACTTTTAACTAGGGGTTGGGAGAGTGAGTGAACGCACCCAATTTCGATGGAAAAATCACTTTGAAAACAGCGCGCGATAAATTTCTTAGCTGTCGAGTGTCTCGGCTAAAAGCTCATCAATGCATCGACGATGAAAGCTCATCGAGTGACAATGCCTGGTCACATTGTGGCCATCATTCATGAGGGATTTTCTTTAATAGGAAAAAATATCGGAAACTCCTTTTCGGCGCTCAATTTGATTCCTTTAAAGCCACTGATTTTCTTCAACACCTTTATTTTGAATTGTACATTGTACAAATTTTACAGAATATTCCTTTTCATTTGATATCTTCGTCTTGAGTTTATGCTTGATTGAATCAACCCCTAAGTTTTGAGTATTTTGCTTTCTTCAGGGGACTCACAAAGAACCTGAAGGATAGGATAACAGATAGGCGGGTGCTTAAAGCAGATTTGGCAGTTTGAGTGCTTATAGGAGAAATTTGCATCTAACTATAGCTGACAGAGAGAGAAACAGTGCAGCAGATTCAGCCGCCATTCTCGCTGCTGATCTGTGAGTCCTCAGCCCGAAGAAGGGTGAGTTTCGTGGAAATGGGAGCGGCGCTGTTCGTCAGGGGGTTGGAGTACTCCGTGACGGGTGCCTGAGGGTGAGGATCGTTGGATTTGAACTGGAGAGGAACCTCGCCTCGGAAGGGTCCGAATTGCGGCGTGCTGAGCAGTTGTTCTGTCTTCGACAGGCCAGAAGGGAAGAAGGGTTGCTTCACCTCATTCGTGGGCGCTGAGTTGATCAGCGACGTATCCAGGACAGCCTTGCCGTCGAAGGCGACGACTGTCCCTTCGGGATATTTCTGCTGGGGACGGTGCTTCTTATTGTCTGGCGGCAGGTAAAACGTGTCGAATCTCTCGGCCGCCACGGCCATCTTGTCCTCCCCTTCCTCGAACTCCATGTCCGCCAGGTCGTTGAGGTCCTCAGTGGGATTTGGCGTGGCCGAAGAGGCTGGGGAAGTGTCAGGAGACGCGTTGTCCACTCTGTCAGGCGGAGAAGGTATGAACATGGGCTCGAAGGCTCTGTTGGGCTGCTGATCCTGGTTGATGAACAGCGCATCGCCTTCGATGGCTTCGTCAATCTCAGAAATAATGTCCACTCTTCTCAGTGGCTTCTTCTCCTCATCCTCAATTCTCTCCTCGTCCTTGCGCCGCTTCATGATAGGCTTGAATCCTCCCTCAACGATGACCTTCTCAGGCTGGAAGCCAGTATTTGTGGCAGGTTTGTAGGTCGATTGGAGTTCTTTGGAGTCAATCGCTACGGAATACTTGATTGGAGGGTATTTCTTGTCGGGCAGAATCGGCTCCTTGATGTTGGAAGCAATGGGCGGAGGCAGCTTGGATGTGAGCATGGGCTTGGCCATTGGGTAGTCGCTCTTCTTGATGCTCATGGGATTGGTGTCCAGGTAGGGAATCCTCAGCGGCGTCGCCTGGACCTTCTCAGGCACCTGTCGCAGTGGTTTGATCTCTGTGGGCTCTCCAAGGAGCAGGACAGTCGCTATGGGCTTGATGGGCGCCTGCTTCACCTTCACAAAGGGCCTCAGGAAGGACGGCAGGACAGGCTTCTGATAGTGGCTGACGAGCATTGACGGCTGCGGCACGATGTAAGGTCTGTTGTAGGGCCTGACAATTGGCCGCCTCTCGAATGTGTAGCCGCCGGGATTGCGGCGCAGCGGAACCTTCACCGGCCTGAAGAACTGCCCATTCTGCGGCGGCCTGAGGTAGACCGGCAGTCCTGGGCCGGGACTCGGCGCCAAGTAGTGCGGCGAGGGAACTTTGATCTCGGGCTGCTTTGGGCTCTGCACGGGAATCTGCTCGCCCTCGTTCATGGACTCGGGACTCGGGGGTGGTGGAGGGGTTGTGGTGGTTCTATTGGGTCTGGCAATCTCCTCCTCAAGCAACTCCGCCGCGCGGATCCCATCGGAGATGAGTTTCGTGATGTCACTATTGCCGGGAACTTCAAACTGGATTTTGGGCGGGGAACTGTTCATGTTATGGTTCTTAATCAAGTCGGACTCGTGCTGAAAGAGAAAGTTGTCCGTTGGTCTCAGTTTTGTCTCGTGCCTAATCGAGGACTCAGCCTCAATTCCCTCACTGGACTCTGGGCTGGCGTACACCTCGTCGAGCTCACTCGGGTGCGCCTCGTCGCACGTGTCCAGCACGTTGATCTTCCATCCCAGGTGGCGGTGCGTGAAGCACTGGTAGTACACAGTGTCGGGCGTGTTGTCGTCAGGAGTCCAGGTGATGATACCAGGCTCTCCTGCGTCGCACTTGAGCGTGAGGCTTCTCTGGTAGGCTCCGAAGGATGTGTACTCATCGGCGCCAGGACCGTCGGGATCTGGGGTCCAGTTGCACAGCCTGCCCACGCCAATTGGCGTGATCACGCCGTTCCTGGAGCGATGAGCGCCGGCGAAGATCTTCACATTCTGCGACAGACAGAAGAACGAGGCATTAGTTTGGTAGAATAGACTCTAATGGATTACTTACAGCTTTCTCCTCGTCCGTCTTGTACTCATATCCACCGATAGGGTCGTCTGTGATGTAGAAGGGATGATATTTGGCTGGGATGTCCGGATCGAATCCTCCCTCGACGACGAAAGTGTAGGTTTTGCCGCGCACAACGTTAATCTCGGGGATGAGCAAGCCGTTGATGTACCAGGAAATGCCCCATCCCACGTGACCAGTGATGGCTGGATAGCCTTGCTTGCCTCCTGTCGGTCCCATCTGAGCGTAGAACACGCCATCCTCGGGCTCGTAGCACTGGATTGGCGGGATGTCCCAGGCGCCGTTCTTGTTTGCCGGACGCGGAGTGGGAACAGGTCTGGGAACCTCAACGATCTCCTGACGTCGGTTCGATTGATGGTCCTGAACGATGGCTTGCTGCTCAGGTCGGCGACTGGCGCGTCTCTCATAGTATTCCTCCTCCACGGACTCCTCCTCGGGTTCATCACTCTTGCCATCGTTGTCGGGCGTCGGGCAGTTCCAGATGGGCTGTCTGCCGAAGTCAATCAGGCGGTTGTCCTTGGTGTATTGGCTGTGGAACGAGACCTCTTGGCGTTGATTCAGCGGCCCAATCGCCCAGACGATCGCCTGCGAGCCGTTCGTGAAAATCGGCAAGTCCAGGCCATCTGAGGCCTTGAGAGGACGCTGGAAGGTGACGATGGAGTATCCGTTGACCATGGCAGCGTTCAGGAGTCTGATGGAATTGGTATTTTCCTAGGAAGAGAAGTATAGAATCATTAGAGATTCCTGAAGAATCTCAGAGTCTGTCTTACATCGAGCCTGGAATCGGGACAACTTCCTCTCTGGCCAGAGCACTGAGACTTGTCGTCCAGGATGTAGTCATAGGCGTATCCCTTGCCCGTGCTCTTGTCCACCCACGCCACGGCCACGTCTGCCCCCACCATCACCGTCTTCTTCGGATCGGGAGACACGCCGAAAGACATGTACTCGTTGCTATCTGAAGTGAGAAGATGGGTTTGAGTTATTGTTTCCATCCGACTTCACTTCCTCCAACATCAGCACGTCCGAGCAGCAGAAAGAGGCTGCCCTCATCGGCTTGGTGATTGAATGATTGCTCAATGGACGTGTGCTTTTTTTCCTCCTTAAGCATCTCTGCATTGATTGTTTGCACGCCATGCAGAGACAAGCTCACAATTGAATTTCTTAATCTTGACCCTGTTCACTTGTGCCATGGTGTGAGCCATAAATTTGTGTATTGGCGTGAGAGGGACGAAAAAAGTGAGCCTTAGCCTCAGAATCACACATAATATTTTATTGAAGATGATGGAGATTGTAGCCTTCCATCTCGGCTCTCGAGATTGTGGAATATTATTCCGTGCAAACAACACTCCAAGCGCGCGCCCACCTTCTTTATATCCATTGCATTGATCTTAGCACAACTCTCGCGTAGACCTTTTCTATCTCCGTCTGTCTTTCCTTCGAGCACACATCAGAGCACGATATTGGCACTCTATGGGTGATTAATGGCAATTCTCGCGCCAAAATCCCCCTTCTTAATTAATCTCCGCAGCACTTTGGATCAAATTGAATGTTTACCATTGAAGAGTGTTATCGCGCATCTCAAATCACTCCTTTAATTGTTGCCAACCAAAGCCATGATCAATTCGCAGTCGATAATTTCATGTCCGGCGGTGAAAAAACGCCCCCAAAATGTATTTCGCTTTATCACAGAAATCCCCTTCTAGTGAAAGTGACAACACAATCTCTCTCTCAGCGAGCACCGGGAGACATCATCAGGTGAATGTCTGTGACATGAATGGGAAAAAGCCAGATTGACTGTCTCCGATATGACAAATATCATATTTTTAATCCGCTGGTCTTTCAGGGGTTAATAGCACGTAGCAATTCACATGCATTGTTCACACAATTGCCGCCCGTTGACAGTCTTGGGAAGATTTATTGTGCAGTGCAAGGCCTCATCGTCAAACTGCAAACTTAACTTTCGATTTCATATGCAATTCACGTCATAAATCTCACGCGGGAGTGCAGTTCAGAGCGTCTGACGCGCTCTGAGGACGGACAGAAAGCCCGGAAGAGTCTTTCAATGGGCATAAATAACAATGGGAGACAATATTAATTGCTCTGTGCGCCAGAATTGAAACATCACTCTCGGCAAGATGTTTTCTGTAGATAAGATCGCGATTATCGAAGGTGGAGTTGCTAAAAGAAAGCTATGGTTTGAGGTTAAACGAGTTTACACGATGATTCGGGTTTGGTCTTTTTTGCGAATTTATACACTTTTCTCCGCATAAAAAGCGCATGTTTTCATATATGTAAATCTCCAAAAGAGATCAATGTTAAGCCAATGCATTTCTCCTTTTACGATATCACGCTGTCTCTTTGGTTTTTGAATTGGAAGTGCGCGCGCGCGCGCGGTGAAAGAGATTTTCTTTATCTGCACAGATCACAACTCTTCCTTTCAGTTGCGAACAATGGTAGAAACACTGTTGCGGAGCGCAATTTCTTCAGACTTCTGCAGCGTCTTGTGCGGGTGATGAAAGAGCATCTGACGAGAGTGCGTGTGGGAAATGAGATGATTACTCGTTTTGCCCAGGTATTGTGCGGTTATTACGATGCGTTAAATAATCCATTCACGCATGCTCTCATAAGTGCATCTCCGCTCGCCATTCTTCTTTCACTCAGAGTCTTGGGATTAATGGGCGAAAATATATATTGTGCAATTCTCTTGGCCTTGCATGGGTAAAAGTCTGTGACAATGCCAATAGAGAGCATGCTCGAGCGAGTGCTTTTTATCGCAATGTTTGTCGCATCCTCTGCCATTGACACTCTGCATGGGTTTAAAATTGGTGAAATATCACACGCCAAGCTTCATGGCTTACAATGGCTTTTCCCAGCACAACACCCCGACAGAGGGAGAGAGAGAGAGAGAGAGTAAATGTTATACATATCGTTGGCAACTTACCAAGTTTCGCTACCAATTGCACTACAACACTTTCGCCCGCAACGGCCCACCTCACTTCGAACGCCAAATCATCGAATAGCACTTCACAATTCAGTTTCGACTGCAATTTCAGAGATGCCATGAATGTTAACCTTCTTTCTCAATCACCCCAAAACCATGCCACAACCATCGGAAGCCACTCTCCACCGCATTCATCTTGGTTAGTGTTTGTACAGTGCCAGAGATTCTCATTCGAATGGACCGAACGAGTCAGTTTTCAAGTGCGTCACAACGTTAATCAAGAGTCAAAAGCATGAGAAAAATGTGCCATTCCTCTTATTGATTATAAAAGTAAAACTGAGGGGAAAAACATCGATGTCGATTTATCAGGCAAATAGCATCGTTAAGATGATGATTTATTAAACACTCATGGTTTTTCATGGTTAAAGCGCGAGCTTCGTCAAAATCCAGGTGAGTGTGAGTCAAATGAAAAATTGTTTGCTTTCTTCTTCTCTGATATACAAAATTAATTTTAGACGATATACAACAACAACAAAAAAACATTATGAATAACTTATGAAAATTATTTCTTTGCATTTTTTGTGCATCACGACACTCAAGTAAGGAGAAAGAGAGAAAAAAATATATATCATTAGTGATGTTGAGAGCTTTCAAGCGAGCTTTTTTTTCCACATACAAACTTACTTTGTTAGTACAAACGATCAAACACAAAAATGGTAAATAAAATTAAATAAAAAAAAGAGAATCTTGTGGAAGAGAAATCAACGGCAACCTCTGAATTGTGAGTGAATAAAAAGGAAACAATTTTTCATTTCATAATTTTATTCATAGTTCATTTATTGACAATTTTTTATCGCCTCTCAAAAAAAAAACAAATTTACAATAAAAAATTGCGTGTGTGTAAAAAATAATTCAAAAATAGAATTGGTGAGCAAGTGAATCTCCAATGAATCTCTTTAAAGTAAATTAATCTTCTTAATTTGCTGCACGATTTTTCTTTTCTTTTCCCTCGCACTTTCGCACACACCATACAAAAAAAGCGACCATCTCGCAAATTTCCTCTCATTTATTTGCCAAAAAAAGGAAAGAAAAAAACAATTCCGGAGGCCCTCGGACGAGCCTGAAGAATGTGTGTCACATTTTTCAGTGCGCAATTGAAATTTGATACACCCACACGAGATTGGCTGCGGGCCCAAAGATGGGCGGACAGAAGGCAGTGGTTGTTAAATTTAATTACTCTATGCAAATTTAATGACCATCATTATCGTCTATGAAGGCAATCAACAGACGTTTCTGCCAATTTTGTATAAATTGCAATTTGACTCCAGTATCTCTATCACACTCAATAGAATTCATTCACCCCGAATTTTCTGGAAAATATATGGAAAATGCGAGTGGCTTTGGCGGGAAAATCGTGCAGACATTTTGAAAAATGACCCTTTTTGCACTAATCTTGATAAATATAGAGAGCTTTCGGCTGACAGACGATTAGAGAGCCAATCGTGAGGCTGCATGGAAGCTTTCTTTCACACATTTTCAACCCTTTTCATTGCACAAAAGCTTCCATGCAAACCTGTCTAAAGAGACTGACTTGGCATTGTCCAATTCCAGTTATAAAAATAAATGTATAGAGTAAAATTACATTTAAAGTGTACAAAAAGAGAATACTAACTCGGCATTATATAGAGAAAATAAAGGTAACAGTGTTAGAGAGCAAGAATTGGATAAATAAGATTGCAATTAGTAATTGTGCTGCTTTACCTGCGGACTCACGCCCAGCATCTTGAGCGAGGGCGGCACCACGATGCCCTCGGGTATTCTCACGTGGCCAAAGTCCACCGTGAACGCCTCGCACCACACGCCAAAGTGGCCAATGTCGAAGACCGTGAGCTCGCCGGGCAGCGTGAGCACTATCGTCTTCCGGTCGTACTTCCGCAGCGGCGTCTCCTTGCCGTTCTCATCGGGGATCCTGATGCCGTGCGGCGAGGGCTTCACGCCGCGTCCCACCCAGAACTTGGCGTCTGTCCCGAGGAAGAGGAAGAGCGTGTGAGAGACATGGCACAGGATGTGTCGAAGCTGAAATTACCTGGCGCCTCGCCGTCGTAGTTGAAGTTCGGCACAAGCAGCGTCTGAGCGTCCACAATCACCACATTGTCTGACGAGACGCCGTGGACTCCGTTCAAGGGGGCGATTTTCTGCGGACGCGGAAACTCCAGATTCTTCGGAATGGTGACATCGCCAAAGTTCACCGTGAACTCATCGCACCACACGGAGAACCACTTGATATCGCGCAGCGTCTTTCCCTCGGGCAAGGACAGCGTGATGTCCTTGTTGCGGTATCGCCTCAGGACGCCAGTGCTTCCGCGCTCATCCCTTAAGCGCCAGGCGCCGACATGATTGGGGCGCCTCGTGTTGCCCACGTAGAAGTAGGCGGCTAAATGGGCGAAGGAGAAGTGTCAGGAATGGCCGAATGAAGTTGCAAATCGCTTAAACATCCAAATAGATTTATTACCCCGTCATTTCAACGGTTTTGGGCAACAAAATAGTGTAAAAAAAATGCGAAATTAATAGGTGGAAAAATGTTTTGTTTAAGAAATATTTCACACTTTCAATTTCTCAGCGCATGAGAAAAAGCCCAGCAAAATGATTTTTCAGTCATGAGAAATTTGACACGGTGTCTCTGCGCTGAAAGTGTGTCATTAGACGAAGAAGAAGAAGTGTGGAAATTTGCAATTTGCAATGTTTATCTTCTGCCCGGGCAAAAACAATGTGCAAATGTGTGTGTGTGTGGAAAAAATCAGCAAGAGGCGCGCAGTGAATGAAGTACACAAATTTCTAAAGCGTCCAGATTAATTGCTTCTTGTGGACACACAAGTCAAGTGAGTGAATCGCGCGCGATGATCTTGGCTATCGACAATGCAACGCCTTGAACTTTAAGTGACCACTCTTTAAATATTGATTCACTGCCCGATTGGCAGCTAATGCAAATTGACAGAAAGAAATCTCATCGGATTACAAACAATAAAAACACTGGCTTAACTGATTGTGACTAAGAGATTCGCCGCGCCATTGCGTCAATCTCATCTCGCGCGCGTGTTAAGGACAAGAAACTGCCACTGAGTCTGTGAGTCTGCGGATGATTCCATTGGGAGGGTGATTTATGTTGATAATTTCTTTCTGTTTTTGGGGTGGGGAAGATTTACATCAATTTAATCACCCTCATAAAATAGCAAAGACACGAGCACAAGACAACACCGAACAGTCTTCTTAATCACATTCACTGATAAGATGATTCATGGGTTGCTTGCCACTGTGGGATTGTCTTAAAAACAGCTGCCCAGACCTGTTTCCATTCTCTTCTGCGCGTCTTCACCTTCCTTCGCCCTGGGACGCGCTTCTTGGCTTCTCCCACGAGCACCCGAAAGACAAATAGAAGCGAGAAACTTCTCTATTTGCTCGCGCATTTACATCGATTCGCCCGAGGGGCAATTTGTTGGTGCCTTACTTGGTCCTTCGCCGTCGTAGTTGAAGTTCTTCAGGAAAATCGTCCTGGCATCCACGGCATACACGTCTCCCGACACGCCGTGGTGGAGCTGCGTGAGGGCGCCAATCTTGATGCCATAGTATCCTTGAGCCTGCGTCACCTGGACATCTGCCGATGGAGAAATATGATAATATGCAAACCATTCACAGTGTGTGCGATGTTTTAAAAATAGCTCCTCTCTTTCGCATTAATCAAATAATCAAATTTCAGGCAAACATGAGCGAGAGGTGAGGACACAGAGGGAGAAAAAAACACGGTGAAACGCACTGAAAATTATGTCATCGGTTCCCAGGAGAGCAAAAACGACGATGGAGAGATTATCTTACACCTGTTAACAATTAATTCTCGCTGATTTTCTTCCCTCCACCTGGTGGACATTGATTGGTATCAGGCGATTTTTTTCTTGCCATTCAATTTATGACCGTGTCTCTCAATGAATCTTCAAGTGTTCTCCAACGATGATCGTCATAGAGACCCACTGTCCCATTTGTCGTCGCTCAAGAGGCAAAATTGCCGTGAGTTGCGTCTCATTCTCTACACTTTTACACTCTCGTGTCAACCGTGTAGACTTTTGTGAGGTGAGAAAGTGCGGAAAACTCTTAAATATTCCACCCAATTGAAGTGCAAAAACACAGTTTCAAGGGAAAGCTTTATGCAAGAATATGTTTAAATTTTTTCCAAAGCTTTTACGACAGCAGTAACTTGAGAAATCCACGCCGTGGTGGAGCAGAGAGAAGCTAGATAAAGGATAATATAATCCATGCGACAAATCACCTCGTATTTTATGAATTCTTAGAGAGAGATCCAGGCTAAGAGAAGAGGCGGAAAATGCGACCCCCATGAAATATTCTCGGGAGAAATTAAGGTGATACTCCACACTAAAAGAGTCATAAAGTCTCCGGGTGAATCCTCGTAAAGTCTTCATAGCGACTCCTAAGTTCTTTCTCCCACTGTTACGTGTGTCTGAGAAATGTGGGCCATCTCCAGGCTGCGAGGCGAAGAGTTATTGTATGAAATTATACGTATATTGCGTTCCAATTTACAATTCAAATGCTGCAGTAATTGTGGATCTGAGCGAGAGAATCACCCAAGGAGAAAAGACACTCCTCATCACACACACAAGAAATCTCTCTCTCTCTCTCTCGCTCCATCTCTCTTGAGGGGGAATTTTTGGTCAGGTGAGAAACAGAGAAAGAGAGCGAGAGATTGCGGAGAGAGTCATCAAAGGTTGTTTAGTATCTCATCATCGAGGAAGATTTCATTCAATCAGACTTATGGGTAACGGTACAGAAGACAAGAAGCTGAAGATTCTCTGCTTTTGCAACACTCATCTTCGTTACAGTGAATCTCAATCCAGTTATGGCATCTCAGAAATTTCTATCCACTCGCCCAATTAGCATTTGTCGTTTTTCTTGGGCGGTTAGATCGGCGACAAGGGATTGGCGAGAAGATCGCACTGCGAGATCCACTTCTTGGTGGCTCTATCAAATTTCTCCGTGAATTAATTGGCATGTCTTCAGCCTGATGACGCTCAATTGCTGCACGCCGCGACTCATTAAGCAAAAAGAGGCGAACCGAATTGAAATTAATTTCGAGATGCGAATCGTTGATCTCTTTGGGCAAATGGATGTTGATTCAAACACTCAATGACGGTGAGTGAGGTGTGAAATCATTCACTTCGCGCATGATAAGTGGAATGAGGGCCAGTGAAAAGTGCTCGCCGTGGTCTCAAAATGCAATCTTCCTTCTCTCTGCACGTGCCAAGCGATTCTCCGGAGGAATTCTCATGGCATTGGAGATGCCTTGGATTCACGAGATTCACAGACATTCCTTCAGAAGAACGCTGTGAAGAAAAAAATTCAAATTACAGCCTCTTCTCGACTTCCGACCATAATTTGCTAGTCAATCACTCCTCTCAAGGTGACCAAAGCGAATAGAAAGTCTCCTAACTTCCTTCCTCGTCATTCTTATTGAAACTCGAAGGAGGGCTCTTGTCACCTCATTCACCTAACCCATTAATTGAGCATTTGGACTTTCGGAGAGTCTGACACACTCTCGCGCACTCATTAATTCGATATGAGCGACACAGAAATAGGCAGATTATATAGTGGGCATGAAATCCCAGGCATCACACAAAGAGGAAGTCTCACTTTTCGCCACTTTTCTCAATAAGTCATTGAAGTGTGTGTGTGGCTCTTTTTTGCCCCCTTGGCCACAGCGCAGACAAGTTTCTAAATGGAATTAATTGCAATTGTTGCGACGAGTGGCAAGAAATTGTGATTTACCTCCGAGTTCCCATGAGACGAAACTCCGCAAGAAAATAGGTAGTCAACCAAACAATAGAACATCCAACTCTCGCGCGTTTTTTTGCGTAAGTCTCTCTCTCTCTGGCTTTTTGTGGACCAAAAGCGAGGCTCTTTGGGCGAGAAGATTGGAAATATCAAGTGCTTGTGAGATGCTCGAGATCGACAATTTTTCACCATTGACAGAGCTCTGTCCTGGAGAGATGGACATGTGCTTCTCCCAGAGTCGCTGATGGTGAAGAGTCTAGACAAACACTCGAGATGTGTGTTGGGTGCTGAAGAAGCATTTTCGCCTCTTAGTGTGTGCATTTTTATTTGGTAGTTGGAGAAACACGAAAAGCAACTCTCTGTGACATTTAGCACTGCATCACAATTTGAATAAATTGTACAACACAACGCATTTCTTCACACACGAAAATCCAATGCCTGCAGCACACAATCTCGCGCCAGCTGTGGCCAGGAAGGCACGGATTCCCAGCTCGCGTGATGGCGAGAGAGTGAGTGCAAGAGATGCAGGAAATCAGTAGCCCATAGTTGAATTACCATCCGCATGATGTGCCAGCCAATAAAGCAATTACCTGGACAAAAGGTGTGCAAGAGGAAGGCCAGAGAAGTGGAGGCGAAAAACCACCGTCAGAACTGTGTCAGTGACTTCCAACATTGTTCCACCAAGAGGAGAATCTCAATGCGCTCTCGACTGAGCTCTGGTCTTGGAGGAGGGGGAGGTTTTAAAGTCGTGCGCGCATTCAGGAAAATTTGGGTTAGTGTGAAAATGAGACACACGGAAAACTCGTCAGATCATATACATTTGCCTGGCTGCTGAACAGGTAATAAAGCAGCTCATTTTCGTCTCCTCCTCATCATGGGTAAATGCCATCGCATACCATCTTTATTATCTCTTGTGGCGCTCACGATGCAAAAATTGCACAACGGCATCGATTGCAAATTTAATTTATACACTTAAAATGTCCATTATTCCTCTTCTCGCGCACAGTGCTTTTTTCGGGCACTTCGCGCCTTATGCAATCCCCGCAAGAAGAGCCACAAACGATTCCCCGCAAAACTTACATGTGAGAAGTATTCCACAAATTAATCCAAGCAAATCTCGGTAGTTCATCATCTTGGAACGGACAGCAGTCAGCTCTATTGTGGCGCTTCTTCGCAAGATCAGATCACACTCTTGTGCGGCACTCCAAGACTTCTGGGCTTCGGGAGAGTCTCTCAGCAAAAGCACTGACACAAAAACACCAAAAAAAAACAGAACAATAAGGAAACAAGTTCAACAGTCCATCCACTGTGGCTAGTCAGAAGCTGAGGATCACAGGTTGAATTGAAGAGAACTCATCCGAATGGCGCTGAAGACCATCGAACACTGAGTCAAAGCGCGGTCAGCCGTTGATATATTTCGATCTCGAGCGCGCGAGATGACTGGAAATGATCGCTGGAAGACGCACACCAGCGCACGACGCACGATGATCGCTGCTTTTGCAACTGGAAAATGTCTTGGGTGGGAATTTGGCGGGAGAACAACTGGAGAAGAGCAGCAACAGCACATTGGAAGCTCTGCAGTCTCTTTTGCTCGCGAAGCTCAGCAACTTCTTCAGGGGGTCAAATGCACAAGAATTTCAGTAGATAAGAAACGAATAAGTGAACAAAGAGCGCTAAATTTCTGGCAACTTAAAAAAAAAACAATTTCTCTTTATTATTCGTAAGTTAAATTGATTTTTAAAACTAAGAAAATATGATAAAATTAGAGTAATTCCCAGTAATTGAGAAATATATAAATATATGAATAATAAAACCATAATTTCAATAAAATATGCATTCACAAAACATCGTTGAATTCACACAAATTTCAGATTAGCCTCAAGAATATTTACAATAAATTAAGAAGGAAAGACTGCTGAATTATAATAAATTTGGTTGTGTTTTAAGAAGGTAAATGAAAAACATGTTTTAATTACAAAGGCTCTTCGAGACACTTCTAAGCAATTGAGAGAATTGAGAGTTGTTATTTTCCAAGAAAAGCAATCAGTGCGAATGCCACGAACATCACGCAAAATGCACAAACTTGACCTTTAATTCTCTGGCTTCATTTTAATCCAGAACACATCGCAATATTGAAATATTCCACACTCCATCGTTCCATATCACTCAAAGCCCATCCACTTGAGCATTGATTTTGAGAATCAAACATTTACCTCGATCAAATATTGAGTAATTGTTGAAATACTTAATTGATCATTTGTACCTGACACACGAACTCATTATCCTTCCTCATTTTTCACCCCGAAAAGCGTTTGCTCTGCTCTCGAACTTCTCCTGCCCGATAAATCACACTCGATGGCTGATCGGTGATTAAGTGTGCCGAACATTCTGATGAATTATTGTGAGCTTGCGGACGCGAACAAATAATTCACTTCACTCTTTGCCTCCGAAAATCATCCATCTCGCTGAAGTGCGGGACTTTTCATTGTCACACGCCTATATTTCACCAGTGGCCAGTCTTGTCGAATTTCCAGCGGAGAGAAGGTAATGACCAAATAATTGCTGTTTAATGTCAGACTATTAGCGCTGATTATTTGCAACTCTGCGCTATTGCACCATCGCGCGCTTTTGGGAGCAAAATGGGCGAGGCGAAACAATGGCGAAGAAGTGGCGGCAATTCGAGTGGACAATTGAGAATGCACGACTTTGTCTCTTTTTCCTTTTTTTGTCTTTATATTATTGATTAAATAACATTACATATGATTTTATTAGTATATAATGGCCACAAAAGTTATAAATAAATTATAAATGATACAATGTCTTCGCTAAGCATTTTTTTTTCTTGTTTAAATATGTACGAATGTATTTCTATTTGACTATTTTTAGTTTCTCCATCCTTTCACTCACTCTCTTTCCACCATTTTTCTTCTCTGCAATAATAACCCTAAATTCAAGAACTCCATCTTCAGTTTTTCTCCATCTTCTTAGTGTTTGTCTGTGATCAAAATGAAATTCTCATATTGAAAGGTGAATTTTGCCTCCTTGTTATTCTAATTACACAATCTTAAGCTTCTTCTCCACACTCTTTCTTTTTCTTATAAAGTTCTATGCTGTCGCTCGTGAAGCTCACAGTGAAATTGTTCCTTCATCGCGGCTAATTCTTTTCTCTTTGCGCTGCAGTGAGCTTTTCATCTTTGCTGCTAATTAATATTTCCAATTAAAATTCACTCTTGGAAAGTATCTCGAAGTTCGCGTGGTATTTTAATTAGCATGGGAACTTCTCTCTCGCCTCTCTCGCGAATTGAACAAGGGCAGCTTGAAATGAAACTTGCCTGAGTTAAAGTCAATCTATTTTCAAGGAGAGAACTTTCAGCCCAGAATATCCTTCGCAACTCTCTCGGCCAATTTACCTGTCGTCAGGCGGGCGCGAAAGCTCTCGAGGTGTGCGAAGCAAATTGAAAATGATAGACGCAATGAAGAACAATGGGATGTTTTTCTGTGACAAACACGCTCCTCAACTTCTGCAGAGAATATTTCATTTGAATTTTGCGCAAAAGTTGTATCTCATGTTACATTATATTCAAAAGTTTGCCGGAGAAAATTTCCAGCATAGAACATGGCGCTTATATCACCTAAAATATAGAGGTGTGTAGTGTTATTTTGTGTCGTGTGTGTGTGTTTGTGTGTGTGTGTGTGTGTGTCTCAAAGAGGGGGGCAAAAGATGCTAAATATACCTCCTATACACATATATTTATGTCTTGTGCTAAAAAAGTATTAAAAAGGACGTATTCTATATTTCCTCCACATGCGGTTGGTTTTTTGTTGTCTCTTTCACCTCTTTTTTTTCACCTAAGATACATTACATTTTGCTACGACATATTCATCATTTTCTTCTTCTTCTTGTCTTCTCCCAAATTCAATAGTACTTTTTCGGATACAAAAATAAATATTGTTGCATTAATATTTTTTTTTTAAATATGCTCTTCTCTTTTTCATCTTCATCATAAATATGTCTCTTAAGGATGTTGTATATTTTCTTTGTTGTCTTGCATTCTTCGTGTGTCTGTGTGTATTCTTTTGAAAATAAATTTCTAACTTTTTTTCTTCTTCACTATGGCTGCTTTTCACACAAAAATTTGCGTTTTGTGTGGCCTTTGAATTCAGGGTGATTCAGCATGAATTTTGCTTCCACTGATAAATAGCTGGTAATTTTGTTGTCTTTCTTTTTTCTTGTCGTGCATAGAAATGAAATACATGAAAATAAAATAAGATGGAGGGAAAACAGAAGGAAAGAAAAAAAACATTCTCTACACTTTGGATCAACTGAACCAAGGAGATTTTCTTCAAAATATTCCTCTCTTTACATCTTATATATTTCTCTCATCCTCTTCATCTTATGCAAAATACTCTTGATAGTTGTTAGTTTATCAGAAAATATATTATAGCATACTTATATTGTGTACAATGTACATAATTTTAATGATATTTCCGATTTTTTTTTCCTTAGAAGTTTCCTTCACTCTACAAAAGACTTTTACTCTTAATCAAAAAACACTCACTGAGACAAAAAACTTATTGGACGAAAAATTTTCCACTTCAAACAACTAAATGGAAGGAATAACGAGAAATGATTATGTGTGGTGAGATAATTTTTTTTTTCTTTGCGAAGAGAATCAACGAGAATAAATTCTCTCCAATCAAATTCACATTGTCAATAAATTGTCAAAATATTAAACTACTCAGAAAACGAAAGAATGATGGCAAAAATTTACAGAATAGAGAAGAAAATCAACAGAAAACACATTTTCATCTACAAAATACTCATTTTCACCTTTCTTTTTATACATTTAAGCTTCGATTTTGGACTAGAATTTTTTTTCTTCCTCCGTCAAAATGATCTGGGTGTGTGTCACTGCCTTAAATTTAACCTTAGTTCCTCCTCCTTATCTCACAAAGTATTTTTCCTCCACATTTAAATTTCTTTTAAACCTAAGCACCTAAAGTTAATTCCAATTACAATATTCAATTAACATTAATATATAGTTTAGGTTCTATCGTAAAATACAATTATGGTATTTTTTTTTCTTCTTCACTTATTACTTGTATTACATATATTCCTCATTCTAGAATGTGTGTGTGTCTGTCTTGCTCTTTTTCACCATCTCATGATGCCACTCTGCGCGACTTCCGACATTCTACCTTTTGACTAACTATATAGTAAAATACCTAATGTTTCTTCACGTGATTTTTATCAATTTTCTTCTTCATCATCTTCATCTGAATAGGAGGGAACCAACGTTATTAATCTCCTTATGAAATATAATATCCTTATTGAGAGGATGTGTAACAAATTACAACATCAAAGCAAGAACTCCATCATTTTCTCTTAAGCCGTGTTTTTTTTGCTCTCGATTTCTCCTTTCTTGTGTTTCCTGTCTGTCTTGTTTTTCTTTTTTTCCTTTTTTTTGAAGGGGGATGGGCGGAAAAGAGAGAAAATTGAGCTTCTGAGCGCCAACTGATGCCAAAACGGAGGCTTTTGGCGAAGATTCGGGGGAGCGTGTGTGAAAGAAGCTCTAATAGAGATATGAGAGAAGCCTTCTTTCGATGCTCCTTGTGATGCGCATCCTTGAATGCAAAGCTCACCCCCATTTTGTGTTTTAATTGCTCAAAAGCTCAATTTGCATTTAATGCCATTAAGCATTGCATTTTCGGCACAATGAAGAGAAAGGGGTTTTGCCAGGGAGATTCCTTTTGAGTGTTACACTCATCTGTGCCTTAAAGGACGTGTTAAGTGTGCCATCTTGCTGAGTTTCATACGAGGATTATATATTTGCGTTGATGTCTTCTTCCCAAACGCGAACAAATTCCACTTAATCTCACCTGGTTTTATTGCCAATTCGAAATCACTCAGCAATTTCACGGGGATTTCTCTGCGTCGCGTCACTCAAGAGGATTTCGATCAAAATGCAAGAGAAGCACAAACTCAGTGACATGAAAGCGATGTGTGAGAATTGAGTGGAAAAAGCTCAGACGAAATCATATCACTCGTGATTGTTCATTCATCTAACAACAAGTACAGTGACTACCAGAGAAAAGAAGCGGCTTTACATTGACATCCACGCTGGGTTTTAGTGATATTATTATTATTATTTCATTTTTTTTTTTTGGATAAGGAGAATCTCTCCTCATTTTTCGCGATTTTTCTTTTATATGTTTTCTTTCTTGCAATTTGTGGTTTCGTGTCATTGATGAGTTTAATAATGTTATCTCTACCATCTATTGTTTCCACCTCTCTTCAGCTAAGTTTCTAAGTTGTTGTTAAAAATTCTGTTCTATATATTTTCATCTTTTTTTGTTTTGTCATTTATAAAACAAGCTCTCGCACAATTCGGTTCACCTGAAGCATTTTTTTTTTATATATCATAATAAATAGGATTATTCTCTGTGTGTGTGTGATTCAATGAGACACAAGTATTGTGTGTGAAAAGAGGGTTGTGATACGAGTTATACAGAAAGCACTAGAGTGACATGATAATACTACGAGAATCTCTGGTTTGATATAGGAAAAAGTCAGTCTATGTGAAGCTTTTTATACTCTCATGTTTAAATTTATTTCGACTCTGTGAAAAATTCCTTTGTAAGCTTTTTTTTCTCCTCGTATAATTACGTGTTCTCACCGCTATTCTTGCGGTGTGAAATTTTGTGTTCTGAAGGCGTCTAGAAATTCTCTAAGAGATTTTGGTTAGTGTTTGTGTGTGGTTAAATAAACGGCGCGGTTGTTTTTTTTTTATTTAATTCTCCATTAGACTTGTGGAATGAGGAAAAGATTGTAACAGTGTTTAATCCCTCCAAAAAATGTCTCACGATTCATCTTGCAAAGGACACTCTACTACAACTACAACAACGAGAGATTTTTTGAGTGCATTCTTCATAAAAGTGCAGCATTCAAATAAATATCTTCTTTTTTTATTCTTTCTCCTTATCTCCACCACCACTTTTTTTCACCCTCTTCCTTATTTACCTTTTTTTTTACCTCAGTGACAACGATAGACTGAACATTTTACAATTAAAAATGAGATATTGTACAATTTTGCAAGCCAAACTTGCGTTATATAGCAGTTAATTTCTCCTTCTTCACTCTCCCTCAATATATAGTGTTCCAATCATCCTACCAACGCTGTCTTTGCCACTCATCTTCATCAGAAGGTATATAATTAGTTATAGGTAATTTTTTTTCATCTTTATGTGTAATGCTAAGATCTAAATATATCTGTGGCTATTATTGTTTCATCTTCATCCACAATTTGCATCTCACCGCGCATTCCTCTCGGTTTCTCTTTTTTTTATTGAATATAAAAGGATTATACTTTCCATTTTTTTGATTCTCTCCGCACACCGCCAAACACACCTTCTCACTCGCCGAGGTTACGCGCTTAGTCCTTGACCTCGAAGTATTTGTATGTCGGATTCTCGTAGCCGTTGATTTGCATGTTGGCCACGTGTCTCTCCTCTGGTGTCACTGGGGCTCCGATGGTCTGCTGGCGGGGTGGAAAAGAGGGAGAAAAGTTCAGACAGCTCCTCCAAGGAAACTGGTGAAAAATTCATTGCGAAGAACATGTGCCAGGAAGGACTTTTAGCAAAGTTCAATTGTCTATTCTTGGCGGTATTCTTATACTCAATTAGAGCCTTCCTTAAGAGGCTGAGCGCAATTCTGCGGTCATCCAAGGAAATCAATTGATGAATTAAGGATAACCAAAGCTTTGATAATGACTAAGAACACAAGGATACTGAATAAAACCGTCTCAGAAATGCTTCTGATTTGTTGCATACATTCTAGGAAAAATACTGCAACTAAACTCTCTTTAGAGTCCTTAAATGCGCCTCAGGATCAATTTTGTTATACTCTCTTATTAAAAAGCTTAGCTTCTCACTAGTTAATCGAAACGAGCGCTTGTCAAAGACCGCGCTGTTAATATTATTGGCAATTTCATCAGAAATTTATAGCTTCCTGCAGCGACAATTAAGTCAATGCTAATTTCCAATTAAAATCACCGTAACATCTAATTAATTTGCCTTATGTTGTCATGGAAATCATCGAGTGACTGTCGATGTGGTGGCAAAGAAGCTGTAATTTGAGTAATTGAGAGAGACTCACGTTAACCTGGTCAACTTCAATGAATCCTTGTGCTTGCGGCGATCGGGATGCGCGCCACTTGGCCACGGCCACTCCCACGAAGACGGCCGCCATCAGGGCGATTCCGGCGAAAGCCAGAGTGAAGTAGACATTCCTGCCCTCGTGTCCCGGTCCCTGGAACACCTCCCGGCGCACGGAGTAGATCTGCAAGAGCACAATCTCAATTATCCGCGTCGCGCGCGTGCCGTCGTGCCCACTTACCGCCTCTCCGTGGCCCAGATCGTGAGCCAGAGCGTGCTGCATCCGCGGCTCAGCTTCCTGATGCGCCACAGCGGCCGCCACCTCCTCGACAGCCCGCTGCACAGCTGCGTCATCCACTGTGGGAAGTGCCGTGACTGCCGCGCTGTCGACAGAGGAAAATCAATTAGACGAGATGCGACAAGGGGCAAATAGCGCCTCTTCTGTGCGACCGTTGAGAGACAAAAAGGCGCCAATGAAGAGAGAAATCGTCACAATTTTAGCATATTCGCTCGAATATACTGAGAAATGTCGTTATTTTTACGAAATTAGCAATAAAACCAGTTAAAATTCTATTAAATTAAACTAAATTCAACCCACTTTTGCTACTCAAAATGTATCGCGTAGAATTTCTCAGCGCAAATTGCATTTAGATTTGCCAATTTGTTTTTAACACAATTTTTCACTAAAAATTATTTAAAAATCAATATGAAATAGCGATTTTTGTGATTATAAAAGCACGAATTGATTCACAATAGTCGAAAAAAACACAACATCGACTTCTCTTTTGTAATAAATTCACAGATAAATTGCAATCACAAAACACTTCAGGTGAGATAAATGATTTCAGATTAAACACTGATTGAAAAAATTGCACTGAATAATAGCGGAAAAATTGTATCTACACAGATTCAGGGAGTCAATTAATTCAAATCGACCGTCAATGAAACTATATATATTCTCCCCTTGAGATGCAGCAGCTTTGCGCCATCAATTAGGGCGTGTGTTCCTGTGCAGGATGCAATGTAGCAAATGGTGGAATGTCAATTGCCGCTCCACTGGGTTTTTCGTCGCGCTCTGCAGCGACATTCCGCCCATCTTGCATTAAATTGAATTTCAAATTGCACAAGAAGGATAAGCGTGTTCGTGAACTCGCGCAGAAGTTTGACGCTGTGAAATGGTAATTTATGGAAAGTTGCGAACTTACCCAACAGTAGTGTCTTCATCGCGATCCTTGGCATCCTTCTGGTCGGCTTTCTGATACTTCCTCACTTCCTCCTCGCTGGCCTTCTCCTTCATCTGCTGCTGCTGCTTCACCGTCGCCTCCAGCTTCTTCGCCTCCGACCGCAGCTTCTCCTCGCGCAGCTTCTCGCGCTCCTGGGCGCGCTTCTCCTTGCGCTGCTTCTCAGCCAGGCGCTGCCGCTCCTTCTCGTTCACCTTGCGCTCCACCTCTATTCTGTACTTGTCCAGGATCGCCGCCTCCGCCTCCTCCGTCATGGCCAGCATGGAGCCGGGCGTCTCGTCCTTGGAGCGCAGCGCCTGGATGTAGTCGTCCATCAGCTGCGAGATCCTGCCCGAGAGATCCGGATAGCGCTTCAGCATGGAGAGTGACTGATTCACGGCACGGTCGATGTCGATGAGGCGCTCGAGTGTCCTGGAGCGCTCGGAGGCCGCCGCCTCGAGGCCACCAGTGCCGCCGGAGCTCAGCAGATGCCGATAGTGAGCCAGAGCATGAGCACGATCCTTGTGCAGAGCGCGCAGCAACTTCTGCAGACACTTCTCCACACGATGAGCCTGCAATTTTTACCACAACATTTGTCACTCTCTGTCTAATTAATTGCCACCCGGAATGCTGCAGAGTTCTTGAGGGGTGTTCAGTTGGAATGGTGCGACTGTCAAATTGATATGCACACCACCATTATACTTTCGAAAGCGCCAGAAGAGAGCTTTTCTGCTTCGCATGCTAAGTGCCTCATTCGCCAACTCTTTATCAACTTTTGAGGCATTTGCGGTTTTCTCTCTTTATCAAATTTAAAACTTCACATCCTTCGAGAAACTCTAGCCGAGGGTGGCGAAAGGGGGAAGGTCAAACGTACGTTTGGCGGCTGCTCGGTCAGGGCTTGGGTGTAGCAAGTCATCGCCTCGCGCTTCCGCTGGTTGATGTGCGCCAGAACGCGCTGCTGATGCATGGCGGCCAGCTGGTGCTTCTCGGCGTTGCCCTCCTCCTCGAGTGCCTGAACAGAGGTCTAAAATTCATCAATCAGGAAAGCCTCGCACGCCGCGTCAGCTTCTGGCTCAGGTCTCCTCCGCCACTTACCTGGAATCTAGCCGTCATGCGCTGCTTGAAGCTCTGCGCCGCCTTGGGATCGGCCAGACGCATGTCCTGGTACTTCTCCTCCAAGTCAGACCAGTCCTTCATCACGCGCGTTACCTTCTCGCGGTGCGCCTCCTCCAGCCGCTGCTGCGCCTCCTGGGAAAGCGACAAGAAACACACATGTTTTTTTGGTTGATCTCTGTGCTCAAGCATGCGAGGACAAGCCAAGGAAATCATAATAATGTTAGCATAACTAGAGAGCGCTTGAAATGATTACTTTGTAGCTCTGATGCTCGAGTCGCGGGTCAAAGTGAGTGAAGTAGGGATCGACAGTGGGCAGAGCACTGGACGAAGATGCAACTTGCTCAGTGGGCTTCAGAGTTGTGCTCGGTGACATTGTCGAGGGGTTCTGACGACGCCCATCAGCCAGAACGGAAGGCAGAGTGGTGAGAGAGAGAGAGAAAAGAAAGCCTCAGCACCGTGTCAAAGCGTCTACCAAAGCTCCGCACTCACCTCGTTGATGATAGTCTGATCCTTTCCGCTCAGTGATCCGCCGGGCATGTCCCAGTTCTCATCAGAGGCGCCAGAATCCTCGGAGTCGCTGCCAGTGTCCTCGTCCGAGTCGTAATCGTCCTCATCGTCGCCTTCCTCGTCGGCCAGCATGTCCTCGTTGATGTCCACATCGTCGTCGTCGTCGCCCTCGAGGTCGTCAGACATGGGCAATCCCTCCAACTCAGGCGACATGACGGGCAAATCGATTTTCTTCACTTTGACCGCATCTGCGAGGGTTGAGAGGCAATTAAGTTGGGCCAATTTATTCATTTGACGCCCCCGCACACGAAATATTTCACCCACTTATCGTACAAACTCTCGCTCTCGGGCCATTTCTTGCCTCTTTTCGTGCACTTGAAAAGTTGGGGCAGAGAATTTCACAAAATCAACACGAAATGACTCTCCGAAGGCTGGATTCAAAGCACACACTCTCTCAAGGCAATCACTTTATTCTGTTGAGACTCAGCAAAGTCTCGCTATTTGCTCATGATTTTCCACAAGAGCTATTTGCGGATTTCCTTTTTGCTAAGCGCGCGCTCCCAAAAAGAGCATTTTGCAAGATTTAGCACAGTGAAAATTTAATATTTCCAAACAATGTAATTTGGTCTTCATCTGCAAAGACAATCTCACGCTTAAAACTTCTAATGCTGTACCAAAGTTTTCACGCCCGGAGCTTCTATTTGTCCTGCTATTCCAATTAAAATGGCTCTCAACGTATGTAGAGGAAAAGCTTCATTAAAGCTCGGGAGATTATGAAGAAGGGAAAAAAACGAGGAAGACAACTAACGAATGTAGAACACTTAACCGCGAGTAAAAAGGGTAAGAAAAGTTATTTTTAAAGTCTTTAAAGAAATTTAAAATTGTAGAATCATAAATTTAGGGAATTTTGAAGCGTAGTTTGATAACTTTTGATAATAGAGCCCAATTTGGAGTCCTCAAAGTGACTCACTTCACTTGTCCACCCCTTGCAAATGAAGAAGAGAGGGAGTTGTTAGCCGTTGTCATACCTTTGAAATGCTTGGGACAGCAGACGAACTCCACGCCGGAGAAGAGGGATATGCCGCAGGGCAGGAGCATGGCGAAGCTCCTCATCTGCATGCCGCGGTCCTGACAGGCGGCCGCTCCGGTCTGGTTCCATCTGACGAAGGGCCAGCAGCGCGATGCATTGTGGATATGATCGAAGAGACAACCCTCGGGCACGAGCAGCGCGTCAGACTGGAAAGGACCTTCTGGAAGCATGGCGGGAGGTGTCTTTAGGGGTTCTGGCGGAATTGCGCTCATCAAGCTGGCGGAATGTGACTCACCCAAGCACCTGAAGGGCTTGATCCAGCGCTGGGCACCTTTGCACTTGCCCTGACTCGTGGCTCCCTGGCGACACCAGCCGCCAATCTTCTGGTAGTGCGGCGACTCCACGATGTTCGTGATATCACGCCCCGGATAGACCTGCAACGCAGAGAGAGGTGTCATTTGCATAATTGAGATCATGAGTGCCATTCATCGCAGTTGGGAATTGCCCAAGGAGTGGTGACAATTTGTACATGCAGAGAATAATCACTGATTTACTGGCAATGGAAATTACACGGAGAGGCAGAGGTGGATTGCCTGAGAAATTGTCTCAAATTGATGGGTGATTTTGGGTAATTTGGTAAACAGCCTGCGCTCATTACCGTCGACAATGGTAAATATTTGTCTTTCTCGCTAAGTTGTGTCATTCAATATTCATTTTTCTAAATTATATTTACCTCTTCGGCAAAGTGGAACGACATTATTTAACTTTATAAGTCTTGAATTATTAAAATTCATAAATGTAAAAGCTCAATAAAGATTAATCATGTAATTTTTGCAGGATTCCCTCTTAATACTGCTTAAAACATCTAATAGACAACTAAGACGCCATTTAAGCGCTATTTTAATTTGCCCCAAACTTTTGACATCTTATCTAATAAGATATTAATCCAAAGTTGCATAGAGTCGTAAATTTTGTCAGTGCAAAACTGTTGGACGTTGAAATATCCACCAGAATCCTCTCGAGACCTTTTGCAGTTACATATTTCACTATCCCGATAAACTGAGAAGTGACACTATTTCAAGCCTTGTCGCCGACAGCGAAAGCTTTTCCACTTCCGGGGACAAAAAGTTTGAAATATGCTTCCTGTGGAAATGAGAACAGCTATTTTGAGTCATGCTGAAAGGCGCGCATTGGAGCACAAATTGCATTTAAACATACAGAATGAGCGCGCTGGAAAAGCGTGGGTAATTCAATTTTTATGGCAAATCATGAAGACTCCATTCGACATTTCAGCATTTTCCACTGTATTGCACTGCGAATGTTATGGGGGAAAATGAATTAAAATGGATGAGCGCGCGAGAGAGGGTGAAATTACCATAAATTTGTCTCCGACAGAAGAGCTTCCAATGCATTCTCAACAAAATCGATTAACTTTCTAGCATGCACTTTATTTTATTAGGTCAATTTTGCCAAACACTTTATTTAATTGACTAGCGCGCTATCGAATTTCCTATTGGTGGCAAAATCAACCCCTAAAATTGACTCCCCAAATCCACCAAATTATCCACCATCAATACAAAGTCCATCACAACCCGAAATCCACTCTTTGCCATTTATTTTCCCAAACCACGAAAAAGCTCTCCGGGGTGCTTTTATCTGTTCTCCACGTCGCCATTGGAGAAATGGTGTTGAATTTTCTACGTGATTTTCAGCCTCGTGCGCCCAAAACTTCCTCCGGAATTGTCGTGAAAAGTGTGTGTGAAATGTTTGAGTGTGAAGTCGTGTGAGAATTTCCACGAGATAGATGGGAAAATTTGGAAATGTAATTTCACACAAAAGCCCTGGTCGATGGTGTGAGGAAAATGAGGAAATGTAGTTCCCCATTCTTCACCGCTCATGCCAACCACTGATGATTTTCATACAGAGCGTAGGGGATAATGAAAATGAAGTGAGCTTTAGTGAATTCCTCTGTGTCGGTTGAGATGTGAATGCTGGAACTGCGCATAATGTTTATTCAGTGGATGGAAAATGTTATTTTCATTTCATAATGAGCTTGAAAAGCAAGAATTCTATAGATTATTGATCAAATTAGAGTGAACAATTCACTTTCAAAATTGATATTAATCGATATTCTTGACCTAAGTCACATTTAACATTGACAAAGGTGTACAAATTGCTTTCTCGTCTCTCTAGATTCGTTGCAAACTGTCCTGAAAATGAGTCCCGAATCGAATATCTAGTCTAATCTACCCCCTAAAGCTGACTAAATTGGGGTGAATTCATTCGCTTCCACTGCCTCAATTTATACAGCGTTCGCTGAGCGACACTCTGGGCTGAGCCTCCAGTTCCTGGAGCATATTTGCGCATTAGCATTGTCGGCCCCACATTTCTCACACGCCGCTCGTGGTGGGCCAACTCATTGATCACAGTCAGTGGCGGCCCGAGGCAGTCACCCTTCGCAAGGGTGGCGACACGGTGTATTTGGAATATTATCCACATATTGCCAAACACACCGACCCTCGACTGCACGAACAAAACACTCCCCGAGGAGAATAACAAATGGTGCGTAGATGCGCAGAGGTGGGCACGAGTTTCACTCCTCTGTCACGTGACTCACAGTCATTTCGATTGGGGCATGAAAGGGGAGAAAAATATAAATGTACAAATTCACCCCATGAGAGCCATAATGAGCGGGGGAGTCAATGAATAATGTACGAGTGAATTTTTCATCAGCCACTGGCCTCACACTCTTCTCTCCTCACCCCCGCCCCAAAAACGCGGCACTCGAGGGCGCTTTGGGGGTGGGGCGGGGAAAAAAATCCACCTGAAAATGCTGAGATTATGAAAAAGAGCTGTTCGTGGGTTTTTAATTGAATTATTGATTCCACCTTTCAGCACCGCCGCGACCACAAGCGAATGCCTCAGCGAGAGAATGCTTCTTTTGGGGGTGCGAGAGATTAATGAAGAAATGAAGCGAAACACTTGGAAATTACAGGGTGAAATTTGATAAATAAATTAGGCGAGCTGATTCATGAGATTTCGCGCGTCTGATTTCCTGCCAACGCCTAAATTGACAAGAGCGGAAGAGTCAGATTATAGATTTTACATTTATATTTCATGCTATCTGAATGATCAATATTCGTTTATGGAATTTTTAATTTGTCTCCCCAATACTTCCGCTGCCACAATAAATTTGCTTATAATTCATTTTGATTTTTTTCCCGGATAAAAGCTCCCGCTGAAATCACCCCCTTTTTGATTGCCCATTCACTCAGGCGAAACACCTAATTAAAGCAATAACAGTTGCACTGTTCGTGAGTATAAAATAACCTTCTGTTTTAATTCCAAATGATATTATCAAGGGATTATTTCAAAAATTCATTTCCACCACTACTGAAACACTCTCGACAAATTCAAATTTGCCGCAAATGAATTTACACACGCTGTATTGATTTTTTCCGACGAAAAAAAACACAGGGAGAACATTTTTGTCTGTATTCAATCAATTTTAACCCTTTTTCCGCTCGCGCAACACTCATGAAAATGTGAATAATGCATGCACGGTCGACAGGTAGGCAAATTGAGCCCATCGGCGTGTTGGCCGAACCTCTGCAGGTGAAATGCGGAATTGCGGACAGTGTTGGGCGGATTTTGGGACGGTTAATCTATCGCCTACAACTTCTTAGAACATGCTAAAGACGAAAATGCTCGTCAGGTTGTATTAATAATCATAGCAGCGCTATTTTTTGGCGGATTTTCAAAATTAATAGTAATTTGGAAAGGTGATTTCATAGCCTACAACTCTGCAGAACAGACTATTTGTGTTATAGTTCATCTTCACATATTTTGAATGGCTTTTTAACATGTACAAAGAGTAGGAACAAACGTCTTCTTATGCAGTTTGCATTGAAATATTCACAATGGCGCTATTTTTCATCGGATTTCTAGGAATGATAGCATTTTAGACACCGTAGAAGATAATCTATAACTGCCGTCAATACTTTTTTTTTGTAATATTAATTGTACTCACCTTCTTGCAGTGATCGAGCAAATCGATTTTGTCCCTCAAGCACGAAGAGTTGGGCACTTTAATCTTCAGGTCGGACATCCACTTGCCCTCTTCGGACAAATACTGTGGGTGGTAGATTTGACCCGCCTCGCAGAGCACGGCGATCTGGGGCTCCCATCGTGGCGATGCAGCCTTCAGTGGAAAAGACACGACCAATTAGTCACGATAATTCTTTCAATTGCTGGCAAACAACACTTGAGACTCTCTCTCTCTCTCTGGCGATTTCCCATTGGCTGTGTCCGCTCGTTCAGTGATTTATTATGTTTTTCCTAGCCCAGAATCCCAGAGAAAGAAAATCCCTCGGCATCCATTGTGAATACCAATGGGACTTCCCGACATGACAACGGATATTCGAGTGCAGGGCGGAAAAAAATGACTTGCATTGTGTGTGCTTTCGATCCCAATGAGCAACGGTGCGCATTTAATGGTGGACGGGATTTAAATTAAAATCCCCTATATTCAAATTGATTTATTTTATTCCCTGAGCCTCAGAGTGCAGGACGAGAAAAAAAACTACTCGTCCTCTCAATTGAGTCCCTGACAGAATATTTGGGACAGCGAGAGCATCGAAACTGGAGCACACAGTAATCATTGGGAATGTTTTCCCAAGGATTTTCCGGCTGAAATTGCAGATTTTTTCATCCCCCCAGCATCCAGCGCCTGCACATATAAACCATTTTCCAACATTTATACATGACGAAGCTTGTGCGCATAAATTAATTAATTAATCTTTCTTCCGTGTCAGTACATCTATTTCGCCTCCATGGAAGCCGATGGGATTTTAATTAAAATTGAAGCTCTATTTGGAGATAATAAATTTCGATACAGAGAGTGCTTGAGAGCTTTCACACACAAATAGACAAACCATTTTCCTCATGGAATGAGCCAAACTGATGATTTTTTAATTTTTCTACCCAATTCATAACTCTAACGACGCCCTAAAGTTTTCATGCATCAAATCATAATTAAATCATCGGAGAGGGAAGAAAGTGCCCCACGAATGCCTGAAGAGGAAGTTTGGTGGGTTTCTTTTTTGGTTGTGGGAAAAAAAGCTCACAGAGTCATTAGAGATTGTCTGTGTGGGATTTTCTTCAACTTTAATTGTCATCAAAGTATCTGTGGAGAAGCATATAAAGTCACACGAAGCTAAATACAGAGTTTGTGCACTTTCTCAGGAAAAAGGGGAACGAGAGTTTAATTGAGTTGCTTGAAGAACGCCAACTCAACTTTTAGTCAATGTAGCACAAAGCCAATTCTCACTTGTAAACAATATATTTCAAGAGAGGCTTAATAAATGTCTTTTTAAATCGATTTTTGCACAATTCGACGTCTCAAAATTATGTTTTCTTCAAATTAAATTCCACATTTGCAAGAACACAAGATGTTGAAAAGCATTGCCTTTGGACATCTCTTAAGCCTTTGAGCTACTTAATTTAAGTCTCAACATTCTTTGTTCACTGCGTTGAGACTTTGTGGCTTTGAGGCAGAAGAAATCATCTCTTCTGCGGAATGGGGGAGGGAAAAGCCCGACACAACTTGAGGAAAATGATTAATTTGAAGAGAGTCACACTGTGCATGACTTTCTCAAGAATTTCCATCCATCCCCACATGAGGCCAAAAACCACCCCCCAACTCACAGCTTCAACCACGAGAAACACATCCAATTATTGTTTGCAAATGGAGAGAAAACTCTTGGGGAAACTTTTAATGTGAAAAATCATAAATCACGAGATAAAGCGCCGAGGGAGTTTTCCATGTTTGATTGTCCAATGGCGAAAACGGTGTGTGAGTGTGTGTGTTTTGGGTCTTGGAATTCTCCGACAATTTTCCTTATCAGTGCGGTTGGCGGAATTTCTCCGCGAGGATTTTGTGGGTGTGCTGAGGTGAAAAATGGTGGGCCTGTTGTGTTGGAGATTGCATGAAATTCTAGAAATTCATACTGGCATTTCTCAACTCCGGTGCTCGGGTGTAGAATTTCTTCGGGTCTGTTGGAAAATGCTTTGGAAGGTGGGAGAGTTAAGTAAATATGGCGAAAAGGAGGAGGTAAATATATGTGCTCTTTCCCCTCCTTGTAAATATAGCGCACAACTGTGCATGTAATGTTGGATGTTGAGAGAATATTGAAAAATCAATATGTGACTTTCATCTGGTTTTATACCAAAAAAACTTATGTATGGCTGCCACGATATTCTCTCGATATTGTGTACTTGTACATAAGTTCTGTGCTGTGGCGAATGCGAGACAGACAGATGGAAAAATGAAGCAGTGAAAGAGTTGTATAAATAATGCTTCTCCTATGCCATATTAACTCTCAAACACACACTCACATTTCAGCATGAAAATCATATGTATAGGAATTATAAAACATGATACAAATTTATTGATTCAGGTTCTCGCGTTTCTTTCTTTTCCTCCTTTCCTTCGGCCACTAAGACGACTTTCGACACACCAGACACACATTCTTCTCCTTCTCTCTCTCTCTCGCCACTTCCTCATGAGAATCTCTGGTCAGAATCAGGCAAAAGCATCTGGAGAGAAATTTACACGAGAGCACACAGACAAAATTTCAGAGCATCACACGCTAAAAATTGTGGGTAAATAGCGCAAAAAAAGTGGATGATGAAGTGAAGCAGAGATACAGAAAACGTGTCTGGTTTTGCAAGGCGAGCCTCAGAAAGACATTAGAAACACACCCAATTTCTCTTCGAATCCCCCACAAATTCGACACAATTTGATAGAGAGATGCTCAAGAATGCTGAAGATGTGTGAAAAGTGTCGAAGAAGATCATGTTCCGGATGAGGGAAAAACCATCATCGGAAGCATTGAGAAACAAGCCCGTAAAGACCGTAAAGTGATACAAAATCCTCGTGAATGCATGCAGAATGGCCAAAAACTCCTCCGCGTGTGATAAATTCAATTGTGGAAAGCTCCCCAAAATAATCGAGAAAGTCGTAAAATGGGATGAAAGTCTGGAGGAGAGTCGTAAATATGGCAAAAGATATGCGTCATTTGTTGGGTGCCATCAAACGGACTGCGACACAAGAGCCATGGAAAATCGATGCGAGAGAGCCTCCTTTTCCTTTTCCAACCCCCAAAAAAAAACAAAAAAAAGAAGAAGAATTCATCCTCACCTGCACACTGACTGTGATATCCGAAAAAAGCGTCGAAAGCACGAATCCGAACACAAATCCCCAAGACGACATTTTCTCAACTTCTTTTGCACACTCAACTGTGATTTCGAGACACACTTGTCTCCAGGTATTGTATTACACTCTCTGGCGAAAAATCACACAGAGGCCCGATACATATGGCCAAAGTGGACGCAAAATCCGCCTCTCAAGCCGCAAATAGAGGGTCTCTCTCGCTGTCTGGGGCTTCCTTGTTCGGTTCAACCCTTCCTTCTCCCTGTGGCCAAACACAACACAGAAAAAACGGGCAGCTCCACTCCACTCACACGCACTTCACTTCCTCTGGCACTGGGGCCTTCAAAGACCACCCGACGAAATGTCTCTCCTGGCGAAGAGGGTGGCGCTTTCCTTCAGTCACGGAAAACTCGCTAAACCGCCCCTCGGCCTCGCTTAATCCATGGAAATCCACTGACAGGAGCGATTTCGGGCGCCCTCGCGACTCTTTGGCGCTCTTGCCTGGCGATTGTGATACCTTTTTGGTGGCTGTTTGGGCTCTTTTCAGGCTCCCTTTTCAGCTTCACTTGAGAGAGATTTTGAGATGCTTCTCACCTTCACGCGACGCTCTTGGCACGACTCAACACTGCGCACTGTTGGTGGCAGCAAATGCGACGGACTCGGTCGCGACTTCGGAGACCCGCTCTCAGAGACACAAGCAAACGCGAGAGAGCCAATTGAGGGCTTGGTAGAGCTGGAGAAGCCATTATCTTTGTTCTAGCGCAGAGTTGATGCCAGAATTGGCGCGCTTTCGTAGATACAATTCATTTCAGTAAAGTTTTACGTTCGATTTTCATTTAGGGATCTTTGATATTCATTAGAAAGCTTTTTCAGTCTCAATTAATATATTTAGGAGAAATAATTGCATTGCAGTCTCAGAAACATTACAACGGATCCAAAGGGAGAATCGCTATGTGTTCTTGACTGCTGCCCTCTGTCGACAATGTGTGGCAATGTTGATTGAATATACAGAAAATAATCAAAAAATCAAATATTTTATGGCATAATGAAAGGATGATTGAAAGAACCTTCAAAGAAATTCAGAATATCCAACACGTAGGATTGACTGGGTGGAAAAAAAAGACAATCTTCAATCTACCCTCCGGTCAACTCGTCTTCCAGAAGAGTCGAGAGAGCAAAGACGGCGTGCGCGCGCCGAATGCGCGCCGCGCAGGCGCCGCGACGGCTCAGGAGTCGGCGGGAGGGTGAAGGAAGTGCCTCTGCCCCCAACATAATGGGATCTACGGGCAAGATAACTACATTAAATGGAGTGGCATTGTGTATGCCTTTTGGACGACAGACGCGAGCGCTCGTAATAGACACTGACTCACCAAAGCATGATGCTCGTGGGATCTGCCGATGGTCGGAGGGCGACGAAAGGGCCCCTAATTAACTCACTGCAGGTCCCGAGGCTCGTCGCTGCTCATTTCCATGCGGAAAGTGCGGGGCTTCGGGGGTGGAATTCAGGAAGCAGCAGAATTGTGCAATTTCCTCCCATGTGAGATTGACTTTCGTGTGTCCCACTGAGAAATACATACGGCGCTTCATGGAATTATTAATGGGGCGGCGCGGGTGGCTTTCCAAATTGCGCGAATCCCTCGTGTGGGTGAGGAAAAATTTCAGATGGTCCCCAGAGGGTGCACACGAGAGACGCCAGCGCGAGGAAGGGGGTCAATAGCTTGAGGAGAAGCTTCTCTAAACTTTGAAGATGAAAAAACATATGCACAGTTTTCTTGTTATAAACGACTCCTTTCTAACTTCAAGAATTCAATTTCTCCAGAGCTCATTGCAGATAGAAAAAGCCAACTCACCTCGCCAATTGCTTTCGCTCTGACGCTCTTGGAGCAATTGAAATTCCGCGAGTGAGTTCAGCAGTGATTCATAGTGCAAATTCGACCGTCCAATTGACTATCCGACTGATAATGTCGAGCTCGTGAGTGGGCAATAAAAGAAATTTGCATACAGAACACTTTCCGCAAGTTGGCCAATTTGATTATGGCGACCGACACTAATCAAATGAACAACTAAGCAATTTAAGTAGGATGAAAAATAGAATATAAATTAATTCACTGACTTGACAAAATTTGACTCTGTGTGAGCAAATTTCTTCTGGAAAGACTGAGAAAAATCTTAGAAATCACGGAATTGTGAAAGGAAATTAGCTAAAAACTCAAATCCGATGATAAAATAGTACAAATGAATGATCTTACTTAACTTTCTTTCCGCAGATTCTCAAGCTTAGAAGCGATCTTGGCCCCCTGATCGTGGCCTCAGCGAATTGGATCTGCGAGGGATTTTATGGCGTGTGTCTTGCAAAGGGGAGGACGAAGAGTAATGGGGGCTCTTTCTCATGGGTGTCCCACTCGTATCTCGGCAATTCATCTCGCTGGATGACCCGTGATCAATTCAATCTGTAAGAGCGTCGGGGAGACACATAAAAGCCAGCGCTGAAGGCGAAGGAGAAGTTTTGTGTGCGGCAGCAGCTGACTCAGAGCATTCTTGCTCATTTCTATTCCTCCGGCGCCTCACACTTTTCCGCCCGTGGAAAACACACTCCTCCAGAGAGATGGTGAATCGAATATTCGTGAGGGTTTCCAGAAGAGTTTGCGGGGTGGCGCGGAAGGAATGCAATTATCGACGAAGGGGGAGAATCATGAGAGTGGGGTCAATTGAATGGCATTGGGTGCGCGAGATTTTAACCGGAGAAGTGGCAACAATGAAGAAACTCTCTCCGCAGCACAATAGATGCAATTTTCCGAGGGAAGGCAAACACATAATTGTGCCATTGATCTCAATAACAGCGCGCCTCAAAGGGAGTGTCTCTCCAGAGCACGTGCCATGCGCCGTAATTGCAAAAAGGCTCCACGAAAGGCGCGCTCCCCCCCCTCGCTCGCCCACATTCTCAACACCGACAACTATCCTGGCGACATTATTACGGCCAAATTAGTTTGAGCACATGATTTATGTAGTTGTGCAGCATCTGCCACTATCCCTGACCTACATTCACCATCGGGCGGCGTCAGTTTCCGGCTCGGGAAACTTTAAACCACCCCACCGCCCCGTCAGGGCATTCCCCAAGGAAGCGTCTTATCCGAGGTCTTATCTCGTTTTGAGGACATCTTCGGCTGAATTTGTCAGATAAGGACTTCTGATGGTGCAATTGCCGAAATTGCCAGAGTTGCCATAGCGAGGGAATTGCCAATGCATAGTCGCCGTGCAGTTGACTATATATACTTTCCCATCGGGAGTATCGATTTAACCACCAACACTTTATACATACTTCACTGAGAGCGCTTGCATGATTTAATGTTGCTGATATGGAAGCTGATGTTCAGTGCAGACCAGCATATTTTGCTGCGCTTCTCCTCTTTCGCTATATAACACACAATATTAACCCTCAACTTTGTGGCTTCATTTTATAATTGGAAGACTGTTTAACGAAAGAGTGCAGAGTAAACCGAAAATATATTAGCGTGTATCTTACTTATTATAACACTGGGGAAAACCATGGAAACTACATGGAAACTACATTGAAGAGTGGACAAGTTTTAATTGAATTTGTCTTACCTGATTATTTGGATCTTTACAAAAGTCCCAGCAATTTAATGAATATTTAATGAATGTCGCCAAAGATGAGACATTATTTGAAGATAAAACTCTCTTTATTTTGAATTTTACGTCCTCTCTTGGAAATTTTCTGTTGCTCACTAAAGTAAAAAACAGATTCTTACTAATTTGAGTGAAATCCATCTCTCCATGCTGTGAAAATCATTGAAATCATGTCTCAATTTCAGAGCTTATCTCAACTCACTGTTGAAAATAATGATACTAAACCCCCATTTAATGCGAAACTGTGTAAAACTCTCGACAACCTGCTTTGCTCAGACTAATTATGATTGATGAATGCGCCGCTCTGCATGAGTGCCACAATTTCTCATTGTGTGTGTGTGTGAAATTTAAGCCGCCCGCAAATCCACCCTCAAATATTCCAATCATCCCCGCACAAATGGCAAGACTTTTCAGTGCGCTTTTTTTTCCACGTTGCCATCACGAATTTCACCCACAGTGCATTACAAAATCCGGACACGAACTCCACAGCTTCTGTTTCCCCACTAATGGGCATTCCATTCACGTGGAGGAGCCGCAAGATTATCACATTAATCTCAATACATCGGGCTCCACATTTGTTATTTTAATCCACATCGCATATCGATTTCATCGGGTCCGAGAAACAATCGCCCGGAGTGACTTCGAGTGGCTCTCGGGGTGTTTTTGGCAGTGTCACTTTGGGGGGTGGCGAAGCCACACAGATTTCCGTGAAGGACACGGAGAGTGAAAAATGCGAGAGCAGAACTTCCGAATGTGTCACTTATTGATCCGAGTGACTCAGGAAGATTCCGCGTCAAGCTTCGAGACGGCTTTTTGCCAAAGCTTTTGGCGCTTCGGGAGAGACCATAAAATGAAATCCTACAACCCCAAATTGGCCGTTCTAGAGGTTTTTTTTTTTATCCAAGAAAAAGATCAAAATTTCAGCAATCAGACATTAAAGAATTGCAATATTTCCTCCCCCACTTTTGCTCTTAATTGACATCGCGCGTCTCTCAAATTAAAGTCACTTATCGCCGTTATCAGGTGCGCTCTTGCGGGCGATTCCAGCACCAGATTGCCGGCACCCCAAAATGGAGTGCTAATGCCTTTTGGGGTGTGTGTGTGTGTGAAGTTTGCTGGCGAAAAGTGCGATACAAGCAGTTAAATTGCAGCAAGACTCCAAAGTGTGACTCAGAGTATCGCAAAATGGGCGCAATTCCAAGAAGTGATGTTGATGGCTCATGCGAGCAAATAGACTCAAATGGGGTGGGATTGAAAATGCGCAAACAACACTCAAACTGCAAAATTTCCCCATGAATTTCAATGGCCAACTTCTCTTTGACTTTGCAGCGCGCACAAAACACGAGTGGGTGGCAAATTACACCGTCTAGTCATCGCCAAATCCACCCCGCCGTCGATGATGCGACTGCAAGTTCGCCAAGGGTGAAATATCTAATGAGTCCTCCAGCACACAAGTTTCTGCCAAATGCTTCCCCGAATCCATAAAGACGCTCCACTTCAGCATCTTTTCCATGCTTTTTTGCCGTCTTTCTCTCGTCAACGACACACGATGGCAAAAGTCTCCATGGGAAAGTTCCTCAAATGGGAAGCTTTTTTACTCGCCTTGCGCGCGCTCTCTTCAGTGTGTTATTTTTATGCGGAAAACTTTAATACTATAGTCGCTCTTAAAGAAGTCATGCTATGCGATAAGAGCATTTTCCTATTGGATTTTCTCTAGACTGTTAAAAATAGTTGGAAATTCAGAAAATTATGCATTCAAAGCACTTCATTTTTCATCTGATCAATTTAATGTTGGGTCTAAAAGAGACAGAATTGACCAAAGAATTAAGCATTTTTAACATTATTAATTAAAATGCAGAGTGCCGAATATAGAAATTCACCCACGTTCATTTCACCCTCTCTCTGTGTTTCATCCCCAAAGTCAGAGGTTGATTCACAAAAGTTATTCAATTGAAAAATATACCTTTTCCTCTCGAATCCTCTGCATTATACACCAAAGAAAATTAAGCGAGCAGGAAAGAGGATCCTCTTTGAGTGCCTTTTTCCCTCGAAAGCCCACGCCGAAAGCTCCCAAAGTCCCAAGAGCTTCTCCTTCTTCACAGACGGGGGTGGAAAGGGCGACCAAAGTGCCCTGCCATTAGCATGACTCGCTCAAACTTCATTGACATTCATCCGCAAATCGATTTTGGGCGATTTTCGGCACACTTTTCCTCATCTGCCTTCGGCTTTGATATTGTCTTCGATGTCGCACTCAATTATTCATGCCAATATTTGCATTATTTGTCACTTATTTGTCCTCCTTACGCTCCATCTCTCCGCCATGAATTTTCCACCCACTTTCCATTTGTGGGGTGGAAATTTATGTGCATACGCGACTATCTCGCATGGCGAGATGTTCGCTCTCTTCCTCGTTGTCTTCGCGACAGTGCGAATGAGTCACAGCCTCGATATGCAGATTAAACTATATGACATGACGGCAAAAGACCACCCTCAGAACGCTTTGGCGTTTGTCAACAACAATATTAAAGTTTCTTTCCTTCTCTCTCTCTCTCTCGATTGTTAACTTGCCTTCGGGACGCGGAAATCCACAAAATATATTAGAAAGACCAAAAGAATTTTTCCATTTAGCTGCGTGCTTTCCGCTTCACCACTCAATTTCCTCGACATTCCCGCCTGTTTGGATAAAGCGAGAGCGAGAAAAGAGGAAAATTCTTTATTCCAAGAATCTCCTTCTAGCTCCATATGAGCTTTTTGCTCAAAAAGTATGTATTTTAATAGAAAGTTTCACAGAAAAATACACTGCGGTGTTTTTATAACCTATTTATAGTCTTGCGACATTTTCATAAAGCCACGCGTTTTTCCACCCCGCGCGCCTACTCTGCAAAGAAAAATGCCAACATTTATTCCATCACACCATCATGAGAGAACATATATAAAACTCAACATAATGTATATAGCAGTAAAAGCTGTGCGAGATGAAAGCTGAGTGAGGAAAAAATAAATAATATTTCGTAAACCAATGATTGCGTATGAAAGCAATAGAATGCGAATCTCATGAAATATTGAGCATCTTTCTCACCCTCAAACACCCTCTCTCTCTCTCTCTCTCTTGCCAATGTTTTTTTTATGGTAAATATTTAATTTAAAGTGAATGAAAAATTCAAAACAACCCTCAGCAGTGCTGTGAGAGTGTGTGGAAAAAGAGGGAGGAAGAAAACCAGGAGAACCTTTTGCCACACAAAACTCCAGGAGAAATCAATTTTCTCATCCACAACGGGCGAAAACACAGGGATTTCTCGTACTCCTGAAAGGAACAAAGAGAGAGAGAAAGAGAGAAAATCCCACCCCCACAAATGGCTAAAGGCCAAAGACGAGGAGGGAATTGAAATACAGTGAATTGAAAGGAAATTGACAAACAAGTTTCCTTCAAAAGTAAATTGCTAAATGAGTTTTTCCCATCGACAACACTCTCGCCCTTCACAGCGCTTCTTGTGACCCAGTGTCATTCACACCGTCCTTTGTTTCCCACTCGCGCGCGGCTCGAGTGGCGCCGCTCGCCGGGTGCTGAGAAGGGGTAGCAATTAAAAATTCATGCCCACAACTCTGACTCATCATCGACGATCGTCATCATTGCCACAAAGTGCCAGGAAAATTGCTGCTCGATGGACTCTCACTTCAACTTCGTCCCTCGCTTCCATGTGAGCGACGAGGATCGCGAGCAGGCGCGCAAGCGGGACACAAGAGTGGCTCTCTCGTGCAGAGTGATGACTATGAAATCCAATGGGTCGATAAAGTTGCTAGGCAACACCCCCTATTGCGCACAAATCAAAGCCAAAAATGTAGCGCCCATTCATATCCCTCCCGAGCCGCCCCCTTGCGGCAACCCCTCGAAAGCGTCGTCGCAGCCCGAGTTTGGGGCGCAGAGTGCGCGGCAGCGCAGATAAGGGATTACGGATCAGGTCTCGAACCCAAAACCTCTGAATTGCTACTTCAGCGAGACTCCAGGTTCGAAATCTGGACAAGATAAATGGTTTAGTAGATTATTTCAGCCACTATCCTGGTCAGACTAACAGCGATTACAGACTTGCTGGTGATCCACGAGAGGATAAGCGAGAGCGCGAATATGGTTAAGCCAAAAACGCGACTGATCCCTCGATATATCGAAGGTTCAAACGATATTTATGAGTTTCCCGACAACAGCGCATTCGGCCGAAAATTCGCCGAAACATTTCACAGCCCAAAAGGAACAAAATGGCGCATCTCTTGCGAATGATTCCGTAGGACCTCAAAATCATTAAATTCTTCTGCAAATCTTCCATTTTTGCAATTTCATCGTAAAATTTCACACTATTTAATAAAATAAACTAATCAATTGACAGCTGAGAACGGAGCACGAAGCAAAATTGTCGCTAGTGTCGACAAAGGAGAATATCCACTGAGTGTGTTTAGTGCTTGCTCAGCTACGAATTTTTGCTGATCCATAATATAATATAAGGCTGACCTTTACACACTCCAAGCTCATCCACGGAGGATTGATTCGAGTTCGCGCCGATTCGAGAGTAATCCGCAAGTCTGTAATCGCTCTAAGGGAAGTAAGGCTAAAGGTAAGGTTTCTAAACAATCAATCCAACGGTTAGAGCATTATTGCATGAAAACAATTCCAGTGAAGCGTAAGTTTCAATCGAAACATTCCACAGCAACCCCTTGGACTACACGACTATTTGCACTTTTGAGACTCAAACGAGTTGATTCGTGCGCCACGTAATTATGTCATCTTCAATCTGCACACTCTTCAGCTCTGCGCTCAATATTGAGTTTGTTGCCGGAGTTATTTGCCTGTCTCTCCCCGTGATTCCTCACGGGGTGAGGAAACGAGGGGGTGGCATTTTGTGAGGTGCGACGACGAAAACGACGCACAAACACACACTTAACAGCATTTGTCGACCCCTCGCGAGCGGCCGCCCATTCCTCACGCCCGTTCCGTGGCACGATCATGACTCATCATAGGTAGGTCACGAAGAGCCTCCGTGTCGAGCGCGCCCGTCCGCAAAGGGTTGCTTCCGCGCCCCGCTTCTCGCCACCACAGCACGGCGTGCAAAAACACGCCAGACAGACGCATTTCAGTGGCAAAATTGCATTTTCGACCTCGACAAAAAGCCAAAGGGTTTTTGGCTATGACAGAAAGAAAAATTGCACCATGATGCAAATTGAATGGGGCCGCGCTCTCTCTCTCTCACACCCCACCCGCCGCCCGCCGCTTGGCACGAGAGTGGAAAATTCTTGAATCATTTGCCAATTGCGCAATTGTGGCGATTGGATGGAAACAAAGGCAGGAATTCTTCTGGTTTTCCTCCCTTATTTCACTTCTTATTGATTTACTACACACACATTTTTCAACCCCTTCTTCGACACTCTCTTCTTCTTCCTTCCCTTGTTCTTGTTGACTTGAAAGACAGAGGAGGAAAACCGGTGAAAATCCTTTTAGGAAATTTCACCTGAATTTTCCTCTGTCTGGGTGTTTTTTCCCCCAAAATTCAATCCATCCGGAAGAAGGTTATTTTCAGACAGTGAAAAATTGATGAAAGCCCAACTCAAATGGTTGGTTTCTTTTACTATATTAAGCAATGAATTTCTGAGAATATCACAAGCAATTGAGAAGATTAATTCAGAGAAATAATTTCCCTATAATTCAATACAGAATTTTCTAGAAAACCGCAAAAAAAATCTTTTTAACTGATTTACCTGATTTATAGTAAATTAGGTAAATTAAAGCTAATTTTAGGGGTTAATTTAAATAGTAGAAAAATCTATTAAAAGTTTAAAGTCAAATATTGCTAATTTGAACCTTGAAGAAAAGCCAAAACTTTGAAGAAATCATTCAACGTCACGTTAAGAGTTAGAAAAAAATTGGTTTTTAGGCTTCTGAGATGTTTTAGCTTCTCAATAAACTTTAGAAAATCGATTTTTCAACATTAGCGCCACTAGCGGTAACAATGTGAACCTCTATTATTTATGAAAGGTAATTTATCGAGCGATTTCCAATCGATTGAGTGAATTCGTCCTATTTTCACAAACAAAGCGTATAGAAAACCTGCTGAAAAACCACTATTTCCTCAAATTAATCAATCCTCTCTCTTGTATTTCGCAAAGACACTGGCAAGAAGTTTGCTAAGTTCACCGGGAAGCCTTTCGAGAGGGTGTAGAAATGACTCGAGTGTCGGGACGAATTTGCAGAGTTGAAAAGTGAGGTGACAGTGTGACACAGTGGCCAACGAACAGTCTGCAAGTGATTGAGGGTGTTTTTCCCGAGGAAAGCCAACGCCATCGAGTGGATGGGGGTGGTTTGGTAATTGAAAATGTTTTTGTGGCGGCGGCGGCGAATGAAGTGCCGTCAAATCCATATGAGAGTCAATTGTGATACAGAAAAAAAAGGTGAGAAAAGCGGAAATAAAGTTAGAGGATTCAATTAAAAACTTTTCGGCCACAGCGCCATTATTTTACCTTCTCCCGAGTTTTGTGTTCACCCACCATCGTCACACAAGTGTCACGCGGCTCGCCTAAATCTCCGGCGGGATGTCGTAGAGGCCGCACTGCTTGTTCGCGGGCACGGCCTTGTCAATCATTTTGGGGTACGGCAGGTTCAAGTTCTCCATGATGTTGACAAACGTATCGATGTCCTTCGTGAGGCGTGGATTGAAGCTTCGCTCCTCGAACACCGTCGTCTCCATGTTGCCCCTGAGAAGCAGAGAAAAATACCCTTAAAAAACCCCATTCGTGTCGACAAACTCACTGGGTGAGAGAATTAATATGCATGAAAAGAAACATTTTGGTCAGAAGAAAGCAATGGCAAAATTTAACTTTCAATCCGTTTCTTCCATTTCACAATAATTATACTAAGACAATTAAAACTGCTCTAGAAAAGTATGTTTTTTGCTGAAATATTGGTAATATTTCTGCCTGTTTTCTTCATTTTCAACTTAAAAACCATCCTTTTGTCCAAATTGAGTTTCAATTTCCAAAAGAGAAATAGTAATAATTAGTAAATTCAACATTATAAAAGCCAGATTCATCTATCCAGGAATGATTTCTTCATTTTTCAAATCGACGGGTGCCCCGAAGACTATCAAAAGTCAAAATCGCCATTTTTCAGTAAAGCGATTTGAAGTTTGAGAGATGATATATATAGCAATATATTGCTTTGAAATTTTACTAATTTTTAAATAAACTCCCTGTTATATTCCAGTAAATTGATAAAATTGCTCAATTCTATTTTTATGCAATATTTCCCAGGTTTTTCCACTGTTATTTGTTGAAATATTAACTAAAATACGAAGAGTTGATAGACGAATTGGAAAAATTTGGTACAATAAGTCGGTTTTTGATAATTTTTGTGTATTTTTGTTTTCAAACAATTCGTAAAAATCAACTTTTTACATTTTTCCTGCCCATTTTTTCACACTTTCGTCTACTGTCTATAAATCGAAAGACAGTCACGAAGGGTTTCTGGCTTGGTTTCTTGTCAATTTAACAGTGAAAAGATTTAAAACTGCAAAATTGAGGTCTTTTTAGCTCATCGAATAATGATTATAATTCCGGTCAGGATGATTTGTGCGGCGAAAACTATTAAAAGTCGACTTTTCATACTTTTCAACGCAATATTGAGAAATTTTCTACACGCGAGAGTTTTTAAGAAAAATCTTATTTCTTTATTTTTTGCCAATGCACTCAATGTAATGTTTTCACACGTGATAAGAAGACATTAAGATCAATCCAAACAGACATAAGACGTCAACTATCAAAAAACGACTTTTGATAGTCTTCGATTCACCCGTCGAAATCAAAAATAGCAAAAAAAAACTTCTTCTGACCATTTTACTCTTCTTTCCGACCAAAAGATATTGCTAGATGTTGATTCAGGTGCTCTTGAAAGGGTTAATATCCGCCCATCCCTTTGATGAGTCATCGGGAAAGGGGTCAAGCGTCACCCAAAATCCTACAAACCTGTAATCGTGCGCCGGGAAGAGGCGGAAATTGTCGGGCAGCGTGAAGATATTCTCGTGCACAGACTGATAGAGCGTCCGTGGATCGCCCTCTTGAAAGTCCGTTCGGCCACAGCCTCTTATCAGAAGTGTGTCACCCGTGAAAGCGATTCCCTGTACGGAGAAAAAAGCACACACAGACACAGATTTTAGTCCTTTCAGTCCAACGCTCGCGCTATTTCCGCCCACAGTTGGCAATTGATGAGGCGGGGAATCGAAGGGCTTCATTCAGTCACTGTCGCCCAGAATTCAATGGGGAGCTTTACCATGTTGCCCGAGGGATGAATTTTTTGAACTCCACAAATCCGCTCAAAAGTCAGATTGCCTTATCGATTGCCAGTGATTTCTAGGAATTTAATTCACCTCCTGTCGTCACACTCCGACTTAGAGAGAATCTAGAAGACGCACAGTGGCGTAGTGAGAAAGAAAAGCGGAAAAACTGCCAAGAAAAACCGTGCATAAGGAACAGTGAAGCTGAATTGACAAAGAAATTAACTAAACATCTCGATCGTTATCGAATACAAATGAAAGAATTTAATATATTTCTCTTATTGAAGGTGATTCAATTGAAAGTAAATAAAATTAATGACAATTTACAACAGAAAAGTTGAAAATATTCACGTTTTCTGTTTTAATTGCGTTCAATTATTTCAAATGGAATAAAAGTAGCTTGAAAACAGTTTAAATCCAAGATGAATGAATGCGATTCAAGAAGCGGTTTAATCACGACCGAAGTAAATCTCTTAATATTAAGAATACGCAGCAATAAATATAGAAAAGGATCGTCTAGAGAAGCCAGAATATTTGGCAATTTTCTCTTCACTTCCAACCGTGATATCGGAGTTATTCTTAGAAATACTAGCAAATCAGAAAATAAGCCTCTTAATTGGCATTGAAAGCATTGAAATCCAGGTGGGAAATCCCATTTCTATCACTCTCTAGACCTGAGATAAGATTCACCTGTTCTTTGATAATGTACGTCATGCAGCCGTTCGTGTGTCCCGGCGTCGCCACGGCCTTGATCGTGTGCCTGCCGAACTGCACCTCCTCGCCGTCCTCCAGGTGCTTGTCCGCCCTGGCGCCGCTGGCGCGCGAGATCACGCTCTCGCAGCCGGGCACGAGTTGCTTCAAATATCCCGTGCCCGTGATGTGATCGGCGTGCATGTGCGTGTTCAGCGCATACTTGAGCGTGAGCCCGAGCTCAGTGATCAGGTGTGAGTCACGCTTCGCCTGCTCCAGCACGGGATCAATCAGCACGGCCTCCTTGCTGCCCAGATCGGCCAGCATGTACGTGTACGTGCTGCTCTGGTGATCGAAGAGCTGCCGGAGATAATCACACTCTCATTAGCTTTATCATCAAACTGACCTTGCGACTGATTGTGATCAAGTTGAGATTGTGTTGAAGTCTTTTTTCCTGAGCCATCGCACAAGTGCGAGAAGCAGTGAAAAATCAATCGCAAACATGAATAATTTCCATCATTTCACAAAGAGACAGTTGGAGAGAGGGCAAAAAAATCAATAGAATTTCCAGGGAACACAAAACACCTGTTTTCGCGCGTAATTATGAAAAAAAATTATTCGTGTCCGGGAACAATTTTGGTCACTGGCGAAATTACCTGGCGAAAGAAGAAGTCCTCCGTGAAGGTGATGCGGGAGTTCATGATTGATCTTCTGCTCGGCGTTCGCGCTGCTTGAATACTGACGAGCAGAGCTTTCCGCCGTCCGGACGCAGCCAAAGCGACTGAGCGCATGAATTTCATTGTCATTTTGCGCCGCTTGCTGAGCCTTATCACATGGGAAGCCTCTAAATCCGTGTCGAGATTAGCCAGGAAGCGTTCTGGAGGCGCTTGTGGTGAGTGTCAGTGCGTGCAAGTGTTCCGGAAGTGGTAAGAAGCAGGGGAAATTGCAATTTCTGCGGCCGGACAAAGTCTAGAATGACGAAATAGAATGAAATCTAGCGTGCGAAGGAGTGGGAGAAGTCGTGAGAACTCACCGCTTGTTTGCTTGAGAATGTTTTACAAAGCCACAAAATCAAAAGTCACTGCGTTTGTCACGCTGTTTTCCCTTCGCACAGCTGACGGCAGTTGCATAACCTCCGGAGATTCCAATCATTCTACACTGCAAGAAACGAGCGCACGAGAGCCAAATTAGCAAATAAACACTCACAATATTGGAGAGTAGGAGTGAAAAGAGCCAATTTCTCATTCAACATATGTATTAACTAGACTTTGAACATGATTTCTGTACACATTTTTTTTTTATACATATGTTAATAAATTTAAATAAGATTTTTCTCCTTTTTCTCTCTCTCTTTGTCTGTCTCAATGAATAAATAAATTCTCTAGTAATTTCATTAAAAGGTTTCCTTCTCTCTCTCTTAGCAAAGAATCTTTGTGTGCATTCCCGCGTGCGAATCACTACGCTTTCTCATCGCCGCCACTCACGAGCACCGAATTGATGGACGAACTGTCCGACTCGCCCTTGATCAAGTTGTACTCCTTCACGCCATTCTGGCCCACGGGCACGTAGTGCTCGCCGATCTGGATGAGCAGCAGCGTCCGGTTGACGTTCGACCGGAACTTGCTGTCCGGATGGTTGGGCTGCCAGTAGTGGCACACGAAGCCCACCATGCCCTCCTGCGGACACCAGTCGCGCCACGACGACCGGCCGCCGCTCTGGCGCATCTCCTCGCTCGGCCACAGCACGTCGATCCGCCGGCCGAGGTTCAGACAGTCGTAGATCTGCGGAAGAGGGATAAAAAGAGGCGCTCAAAACCTTTAAGACATGATTTTCTGGTAGGAACTCAACAAATGTGTAAATTCATAATTTTGCCTCTCAAAAATCATGCAAAAAACCTACAAAAAACGATGCTGAATCATTTGAAAATGACGAAACTCCACCGATTTTCTTGTGTTTTGCCACTGAGGCCATTAAGAACACGATTAATGGCACAACTTTCAAGTCATTTCGTGTGGTTTTCATCAAATTACGCGATCAAACACACTGATTGTCCGCTTTTTATCCACCCAATATGACTGACCTTCGCCGTCAATTAGCTGCAAAAATCAAGTGATTTCTACCTTTGATCTCAAACAACAACAACTCACCTCGCCAGCGTCAATGATGATGACTTTCTTGTTGAGCGGAATATTGGCCGGCGGCGGCGGCGCATCTTCGCGCTCAACACTTCTGCTCGACTCGCCGTACTTCTGGCGACTCTCGCGCGACTCCACGGACAGTGACTTCTTGCGACTGTTGCTCTTCCACGTGTTGAGATTGGCACTCTTGGTCGCGCCAAAGTCCATCGATTCCTGATGCTTCAGACACGAGTTTGTGCTGCCCATCAGCATCTCCTTGCTGCACACATCACGCGTGCTGGACGACGAGGAAGACGTGGCCGGCAGTGTGGCGCGACGCTCTCGCTCACTGATCCTGGACTGACTGGACGCTCGCTTAGCGCCACTCCGGACGGCTTCGCGCTCCATGTCGCGATCCCTGTTGAGAATGCCCGCCAGCAGAGTGGAACTCGTGGGCTTTCCCATGCTGGCGAGACTGCCGCGCGTCGTGGCGCCGCTCACGGACAGATTCTGACTGCCATAGGCCAATGTGCCGCCGCCGCCGCCGCTGCTGATGCCCACGCCGCCAATCGTGGTGACACTGTGCGGCACCTGGGCATTGTAGTACACCCCCTGGATGTCTCCCATGTCGCTGTCAATGGCGCTGCCGCTGCTGCAGCCCTCGCGACAGCGCTGTCGCACGCGACTCCACACGTCCAGCACGAGATTTCGGATCTTCTTCACGCTCACAGAGCCGCCGGCGATGCTGCACAGCTGCTCATTCGTCTCCGCATACGATGTCGTGAGCGGCGACACGTAGATCGGATAGCCGATCGGCTGATCACACGAGGAATTGATGATATTCCTCAGCGCCTGTTTCGCATTCTGAATGCTGCCACGCTCCGGATTCCTGTTCCTCAGATAGATCAACTCCTGCTGCTGTCCAGCCCACAATCCACGAACACACTCCCTGTTCAGCTTGATCACCCTGAAGCTGAGATAGCGCTTCGCCAGTCTAATCACGCGATACTCATCCGATCCATCCTCCATCACGTGTCGCAGCGCCAGCAGATTTGGCACGCCACGCAGCACGGCGTTGCGCCACAGCGGGTCCGCCTCGTGCGAGATCACCAGCTCTTGCGTGTGAATACTGATGGCCTTGTACAGCGCCGCCTTGTCCTCGTAATCATCAGGGTTCTGGAAGTGATCCTGATGCAGTTTCAGCGACATTCGCACCGCCGGCGCCACGACGCTCTGCAGCAGATCCATGTCGGCGAACACCCACTCGTCTCTGTGCGACGTGATGCGGAAATCACCCTTGAAGAGCGCATGCAGGCCGTGCAGGAAGAACTCCACGCCGCTGGAGGAACTGTGACTGGCCGTGGCGAGAGTCCTTCGCGCCAGAATGCCCAGCGCCAGACAGAGAGACACCAGCGCCGAATCCTTAGTCTGCAAGACAAGGAAAAAGTCAGTCTCAATGACTGTGAAACATTATATCAGATTTCTCACCACAATATGCGATGATTCTTCGCTGCTTTTGCCACTCTCCTTGGCCTCTTTATGACTCATCTTGTTGTCCGACAAACTGAAAGATGGAAATTGATTTTTCAATTAAACCCCATCAATGGTCAGAAGTCAAGAATGTGCGGCAAAGGATGTTAATTGCAATTTAATCTCTCTCTCTCTCTCTTTCCTCTGACCTTTATTATCAGAAAAGTGAGTAGAAAAGTGATGAAAAGTATAAATTAGTTTTCAGTGAAAAATTGCTTCTCACATGATTAATGGATATAATTTTCTTTGACGGGGAAATCTGAGCTTTTCTACGCAAAATTATGCACATAAATCTTGAAAAATTCCAACTCACTTTTGTGACTGCGTCGCTGACGATGGAGCTGAAGTGCTGCTCGCCTCTCTCTTCCTCTTCTGCTTGTAGCAATACTGAATCCACCCGAGATACACACTGCAGAAGCTATTCCGCGTGATGCCCGACGACCGGAAGTCATAATCCTCATCCAGATTGTGATTGAACACAGGATCCAAGTCCACATATTGTCGCTCTGTTGTGTTCTGCAGCGCTTCCTGAATTGCCTGCGAATTTAGCCACTCGTCCAGCTTCTGCGACTGAATTGTGTAGTAGATTATGCTCTGCAAAGTGATCGAGAAGAGCATGAAGATCATCAGAAAACAAAGAATATTAACAAATTGTCCCACCTTCACATAATACGTGATGAGAACTCGTCGGAACTCGAAGACTTGGAGCGTCGCCACAGCCGAATTGTCAGATATTGAGTATCCTTCGAGAATATACTGTGCCGCCACAACTTGCCACGCCAGCCAACGTGTTGAGAACATGGCATTGACGCTGAGTATGAAGGGCAGATGGCCAGGAGAGCAACAGCAACAGTCTGCAAGGAATCCCACAAATCATCTCCCTTTTCCTTCCCCTCACATTCAATTCAACTCACCTCTGTTCTCTTCCACACCCTCAGAGATCGCCTCCACTTCGCGCTGCTGGCAGTATGTGCCCCTGAACTCCAGGCCACGCATCTGGAAGGTGCACAGCCCGTTGCCCAGCTCGATGATGTGCACGAGACAGTTGAGATAGTCCGACGCCAGCACGAAGCAATCGCCCTGGCTCACATTTCCCCATCTGCCCAGCAGCAGATCGCCACAGAGCGAGTGTTGCAGCGATCTGGTGAGATGCTCGTAGAAGATGCTGTTGAGATTGTTGTCATCCGAGCCCAAATCGCGCTCCAGCTGCGAACTGAGGCGCGTGTTGGAGTGATCAATGCGACGCGTGTTGTAGTCACGCTCCCAGAACTTAATCGGTCGCACGTAGGACGTGAGGAAGATTGCACTGCCCAGGAAGGGATTGAGTGGCGTGGACAGGAGCGCACTGACGCCCGCCTGCAGGAAGAGCATCGCCGAGTGTGGCACACTGAAGGGCTGAGCAAAGGCATGAAATGCTGAACCCCACGTGATTTGCCACGGAGCAATGTAAGTCACGATGAATTGCACCTGGAAGCAGAAAAGACAGCTGTCAGGAAGACTCCGTAAGGGAGAGAAAGTTACTTACCTTAAGAAGAAAATCGCACGTTTTCTTATACAGAATGGAAACGAAGAAGTAGTTGATGAGGAAAGTCTCACTGGAGGCAATATAATCGAGACGAAAGAAGAGCACTGAGAAGATGAGGATCAAGTATTGACTTGCTGGATCGGAGAAAGAGCTTCGAACACCTGAAAAATGGCATGTTAATTGGTGAAATTCTTCAACTTCTTGAAATTCAATTTGACTCACACTTCAGTCCGCAAACCACGACAAAAACAGTGCCCAGCGAAATGCCAAACTTGCCCACAATTCGCACAGAGTCAGACGTTAGGGCGCTGAGGAAGACAATGGGATACAGCACATTCCTCTCCAGCATGCACAGATAGACGATAAACTTCTCAAACCACATCACTTTGGCCGCGCCGCGCGGCTCAAACTGCCCAAACTCGTGCTGACGCAGAATCGGCAGCGACATGCACAGCCACGGCCAGTGCTTGCGCATCTGCGGCAGCAGATAGTGCAGCACCAGGCCCAGGACGCCGGCGATCGTGTGCAGCACGGGATTGAGGTCCGGCTGCAGCACCGTGAACACCGTGCTGCAGTGCAGCCCGAGATAGATCACGGCCAGCACGCAGCACACGAGCAGATCGTGCTTCAGGCGCGCATTCACCGTGCTCTGCATCTTCCTGGGCAGTGGATCCACCAGCTCAGCGTCCGTGAGCACATTCGGCTGGCCGGCGGACGAGGACGCGGCCGTCTGCTGGGGCGGATGAGTATCCATGCTATTTACATCAGTCTTATTGTCATTGGTGCTCGCGTCCTCGCGCGCTGCGCTTCCTGCTGAACAAACAGAAGAAAGAGATTCCAGGTGAAAAATCAGCCTTTTGAACTAAAATAGCTTCTTAAAGGAGAATTTCAATATCATTAGAAAAGAATTGCATAGTTTTCTCATCAATTTGCCATCTTTTCTCAAGAAATTGACCCTTCAAAAGTGTGTCTTTGCTAAAGAAACAAGAAATCTACATTATCATCAAGATCTTCTTTACCCACATTTGCCTATTTCACTTCAAATTGCTAATAGAAAATCTGTAAAATTTGAAAAAGGGATAAAAACTCACGACTCTCAGCCGCGACGTCGCTGCAGTTGGACTCCGTGGACGTGGACTTCTTCACCTTCTCGGCTGCGCTCGGTTCGTGCTCATCCTCGTCGGAGTGCAGCTGAATGCTGGACTTGATGAGGAGCCACACGTACGTGAGATCGCTGGCTGTGCGCGACAAATGGTAGGCGATCGGAATGAGTAGGGCGCAGAAGATGGAGAACATCACGTGCTGACTGCCTTGCGGCTCCAACAGTCCACCATACGCCGGCCCGTACAGGATCACGCAGCCCAGGATGGACTTCAGCACGGCGAAGAAGCCCGCCGTGAGATTGGACACAGCATTGCCGCCGAACATGTGCATCTCCAGCTGCTCCAGGAAGTACATGAGGAAGGTGTTGATCTGCGGAAACAGGCCCAGACTGAAGAGAATGGGAAATGCCAGCAGGACGATGGAAAGGATGTATTCCACCATCTCGTAGAATTCACGACTGTGAATTGTGGCGCCGAAGACAATGACTGGCGTGACTTCTGACGCGTCCTGTGTCATGCGATGGGCGCCAATGAGGAGGAGCGTGCAGAGGCAGAAGTAGATGGGACGCGAGTAGGACACGGTCTTGTTGAAGCCGTGAATGGGCGACGCGGCGTCCGGCTGCACGCTCTTGATCAGCGAATACTGACTGCCGGCGATCACGAAGCAGAAGATGAAGGCGAAGATGTCATCGTAGAAGCCCAGGTGAAGCACCAGGGCGCCCAGGAGGCTCACGAAGAAGGTGAGGAAGGTGGCAAGAACGACCTGCAATGACAACACAGTCAATATTTGCTCTCCTGTATTCGGGAGAATCCTAAAAACTCACCTGGAACCAGCCTGTGTCTCTGTCGAACAGCGCCAGCAACTGCAGTCTGTCCATGTGGATCTTGAACGTGTGGCGCCCCAGGAAGTTCACCGAGAACTTGTAGTACTTTGGCATTGGCTTCAGTTTGGCATTGTCCAGGTAGAAGCGACTCATCTCGCCGAACGTGTCGTCATTCAGCTCCACGCGCCCAATGCTGAGAATGGCCGCCTGGACGGACGGGCGACTGGACAGGGACTTGTCGAAGCCATGCGGAATCGACGACGAATCCATGAAGTCGTGCATGGACAGCGAATTGGAGATGGAAATCACGGGATTCTCACAAATCGTTCCACTATCGATGCACTGATTCGCACTGAAGTTCGTCTCGCTGCCCAGATTTCTGCCCGCCGTGCTGTCCAGCGACTTCTGTCGCCTCTCGCGCGTCCTCTTCACCTTCGGCTGTGTCTGATGGTGATGAAAGCCACCGTCGAGATTGCGCGGCCGGAAGTTGGAGAGATTCGCCATGGGATACTCCAACTGCTGCCCATACATCATCATGTGATAGTCCGAGCGGGAGTTGAAGAACGTCAGGATGGGCGTCTGACCGGCAGAAGTGTCCACGGGCGCCGTGGGTCGCCTGAACACACCGCGCGTGATCAGCGGATACTCATCCACACCAGCACTCATCCTGCGCGACTCCATTCTCTTGCCCATCTTGGGAATTGCACCCAGATTCCTCGTCGTCGTCGCCGGTGCGCTTCTGTCCTCCTCCGCGGTCGAGATCTCCGGACTCCTTCCCGCCTCGTCCGTCTCCGTCGTCACATCCACACTGATGTTGTTCGCATCCATGCTGAAGTCAAACCAGATCGGATTCTTCGTCGTCTTCTCCCTGCCCGACGACGACGTCAGCAGCATGTCTTTGGAGCTGGAGCTCATGCCCTCCCAGTCGCAGAACGGTCGGATCTTGTTGTCCTTCGCCTGCTCGAATCTCACATTCACCCTGTGCTCCTCCTGACCCTTCTTCCCCACGTCGCCCTTCAGCGATCCCGATGCATTCCCCTTCCGGTGTCGCATTCCCGAGCACTTCTCCTCCACATTCTCAATGCTGATCCTGTGGAACTCCAGCAGTGGCGATCGCGAGCCATTGTTCTCCGTGTCAGAGTCCGTGGATTGCGCCTGAATCCTGTCCACATCCGACTCACTCTCTGTCGTCGTCGAGTGACGCTCTTGTGTGATCTTCTCGTCATCCTCTTGCTGCTTATTCTCCGCCACGTCCTGCTCCTTGTCCGCCTCCTCGTCGTGCTCGTCATCCTCCTCCTCCTCATCCTCCTCTTCTTCCTCCTCCTCTTCGTCTGACTCACTCGTCGTGCTGCTGTCGAACGCCGACGCCGGCCGCATGTGATGCCCCACTTCGTCCGCCTGCTCCGCAATCGGGTAAACCAGCTGCTCGGACGCCTTGCCGTCCTGCAGAAAGAGCATTAAGAACACTCTTAATTTCGTTTTCTTGAAATCTTGAAATGTGCCTTCGCTAGTGTGTCCTTGGTAAACTAGAAAATTCTTCCATTTCCCACTTAATCGGGAAATTTCTTTGAATTCTACAGGAAAATATCAAATTGAAATAATCACTCTAAACTTACCTTCGGACAGAGATTCAGGTGCGGATTCCTGGACAGACTCTTGCTGGGCGGCGGCAGTACAACGTGATGCGGATTCCTCAGCGGCTGGCCGCCGATCACTTCCACGCTGTTGGGCTGCGGCGGAATGTACGGCGCCAGCGGATGCGGCGAGGACGTCTCGATGGCGGCGCTCTTGATGCGCCGCACGCTGATCACCGAACTTGGCAGCACTTTCACCGCGCCGGCATTCGGATGGCGACTCAGCGCGGCCGAGGAGCTGGCGATGGGCAGCTGGATGGCCGACATGGTGGAGTTGGAGTCGCGGCGCATCTGGTTCGTCGGATGGTGCATCAGATACACTTTGCCGCCGCTCAGGTCCGCCGCCGCGATGTTCTCGATCGCCAACTCAGACTTGGTGGTGTAGTCATTCTCCAGGCACAGATACGAGGCCAGGTTCTGCAGCTGGCCGCCGTGTGTGGCCACGTAGCAGTTGTTGGGATGAATGCAGCCCAGCGAGATGTTGGACATGTTCTTGCGCGCCGTCTTGCCATTCTCCGTCGATCTGTGGCGCTGCAACTTCACCGGCGACTCACGCTCGCCATCCGACGCGTCCAGGCGCTGATCCTGCGAGTCCAGCGACGCCTGGCGCTGCATGAACGCCCTGGGAAACTCCTGCGCCACCTCGCCAGCCTCTTTAGTCACCTCCGGCGCCGCTTTCGCGTCCTCCTCGTCGAACGACTTGCCCGGCGGCATCTTCTCAGCACCGTACGCCGCCGTGTTGCACACGTCGGCGCTATGCGTCGCCACCACGGAGCTCTGCAGCACGCTGCTGCTGTACAGCCCGACGCTCTCGTTGGACTCCGAGCTGTTCTTGCGATGCACGTCCACTTTGAAGTCTGCAAGGAGAGAAGCCACGAGTTAATTTATGGACTTTGCCGCTCGATGACCCACATTTCATCTCATTTTGTCACATTTCTCGCCATTGCACAACGCTTTGGCCAACTTTTCACTTTCAGGGCGAATTTTGCCGTTAAACTCCCCAGATTTCGAGGCTCAAGTCGCTCAAGTGTCTCAAATCAGGGCCAATAGCACTTGAAGTATTGATTTAATTAGCTAATTCATAAAGTTATGATAAGAATAAAGCGTCACACTTCAAGGGCAAGAGCAAGAATGTCTGTTTATCAGTGCAATTCTTCGCCATCCTCAGCAATATTTGATATCTTCAAGTGCAGTTTCACAGTGATATTCAATGCTAGACGTTTTCGCGGTGGAAAGAGCGGCTGAGCCGCCGTTGTGGAATTTCGCAGCGCAATTAACTGTAATTTCTCTAAAGATTTCCTCCCAGAACGTCTTCAGAATTGATATGATTATAAAAGTTGAGCTCAAACTTTTAATTTCTCACTGAAGACATCATCAAGCAAAAGATTCAAGCTGTGTGTTTAATTGTGTTTCAATCCCGCCGCACGCCGCGAAAGAAATTCATCTGCCGCCTGAGATTTTGCGCTCGGCGCAGAACTCTGCACATTGAATGCGCCTCCAAAATATTCACACTGATATTCTGCACTTTCTCGGCTCTTTCGCGCGTCCTCGTTCCCATTTTTCGCTAGAAATCACGGCCGGGGGCTCACCTATCGTGCTGGCGACCTGTTCCGGATAGTCGACGGAGAAGGCGCTGTTGGCGCAGCTCAGGTCGCTCTGGTTCTCGATGGACACGCGCGACGACAGCAGATCGTTGCCCAGCACCTGCATCTCGATGCCCGCGTCCTCGTCCTTCATCCTGCAAGAAGAGAGAGAGAGGGAGAGAGCGTCAGGCGTGAGTCCCGTGGGGCGCTCGGCGCGCACTCACTGCAGAATCTTGCAGGGACTGGCGATGCTGCTGTTGCGATTGAGGTCCGACGTCGCCTGCGCCTTGTCGTACATCCCGTGCAGCGCCAGGTTGACGATCTTCAGCGCCGTGACCAGGGAGGCCACGGAGAGGCAGTACAGCGCCCAGGTGGCCACGGTGGCGGTGAAGTACTGAAAGAGACGCGCAGTTTGCACTGACATGCAGCTCAACGGCCTTGGCGCTGCGCCCCCAGGCGCCCCAGCGGCGCAGATACTCACGATGTAGGTGACGAGCGGCGTGCAGAGCAGGAAGAGGAAGAGGTAGAGGTGGATGGCGTTGCAGGAGACATTCTGGTGTGGATCGTAGAACCAGCCACCAGTCAGCGATGCCCAGACGCCCTGGCGCAGAATCTCCAACGTCTGTGATCCCATTCTCACTGCCACACTACAGCGTCCACATGTTCCCACTGTTCAACTCACAGTTTGCACTCTTTTCCGCCCCAATTTCCAGATTTTCATCCCTTCTTTTGTGCACTTTTTGCCAATTTCATTGCCAGCTGATTTTGCTATGTTTCACATCTGACATTTGCGATGTTTTGCCAATCAATGGAAGCGCCATTTTGTTACGCTGTAGAAAATTCCCAAAATCTCAACAAACTACTCGTCTATTGTGCTGCCACCTGTAGCTATGATGCAGAGTGAAACTCCCGGAATGACTTTTTATTGGGAAATTTTTGAAAATCTCTTTAATTCATATTTGTGTGTAATAAAATAAGGTATGGTGAGGGCAGTGAGGATGCTGGGAGGTTTATTCATCTCCACGGATGGCGCGGTACTTGTTCATCTCGTTGGGGAAGGTCTTCTGAAGCTCCAGCAACATGTTTGCTTTGAACTTCCTGTACGAGTCGATTTTCCCCTTGACTTCCTCATTCTTGCTCCTTGCCTTATCTATGCAGTCCTTGGTGTACAGCTGGGGATTCTTTCCCTGGTCGATATAGTCGAAAACCTCGAAAGGAACGTGCACATTCTGCACCTGACTCTTCAGCTTGTCAATCTCCTGGAGTCCCGTGACGAGGCCCTGACTGCAAGAGAGCCGCAAAGAATGTCAATAGCAATCGGCAAACTGAATTGTGGGAATTGCGATATGTTGTGATAATGCAAAAAATACTCACATCTTCTGATTGAGGACGTTCTGGCCTTGAGCTTGAAAATCACTGACTATAATGCGAATTTGGCGCACATTCTCTATAAACATCTCCAGGTTTGTCTCGAGATTCTCCAGAGGATTCTTGCAATCCATTTTTGTGTGTATTCACGAGAGAAATCGCATGTAATTGTGGCGATCAGGCAAAACGTCAGATTTTGCAAAACGAAAACATTCCCTTTGGCAACAACAGCGCTTCTGTTCATGGGATTCCGAACTAAATGTGAGAGCGTTCCAGCCACGAGAGGTGCTGCAATCGCTAAGAAAGCAAAACAAGGCGAATTCAACCACACTTTGTGATTCTCGTGAAAAATGTCTCTCGTGCGTGTAAATGCGGGATTTTCACGGATCCTGTGCCAGCACTCGCGTCTCCTGACCACCAGCGCGGCGCCGGCGAATGAGGAGTACGTGTCAGAGCCGCAATATCCCGAAATTTTGGATCTCTCATTCCGCGCGCGGAAGTACCGCCAGAAGCAGACCTGGCATGACAAGCTGCGGCGAGTGGCCTCGGTGGAGGAGAAGCTGCTGGGCATCAACATGCCCAGGTACTATGGATACAAGTGCGTGATGCTGAACGATCAGAAGATCCCGTACAATAGTCTGCCATTCACGCAGTTCGCCACGCGTACGGCGTTCCGGGAGGCCGACAAACTGCCGGACTTTTACCGGCGCTACGACGAGGCGGCGGAACGGATTGCGGGCGCTGTGCAGGGGGCGATTGAGGAGGTGCTGGAGCACGAGCTGAGGGGCTACAGGAAGGCGCACGAGGGCAGGAGTGACACACTCACGGAGACACAAAAGCTGGACATTGTGGCTGCGGCGATTGTCCGGGAAGTGAATAGGATCGTCATGAACAGCCTCAGCGGAGAGTTTCCCCACCTGGAGGAGTTGGATGTGGATCTGGCGGCCAGACACGAGGCCTTTTGGGTGGTCGGCGGCATAAATCCGCCGCTGATGGTGACAAAAATGCGAGACGGCCTCAGATGGTCGAAGAAATACAAGGACGATCCCACGGACAGATTCTTCCAGTACAGAGGTAAACGTCCTGAAATTGTGGATAATTCGTGGAAATCTCACAAGCATTTCGCTTTTCCAGGCACTCCTTATCTTGCTCTTCGCCATGAACATCCGCTGTCGCCGCTGGCGGACGTTCTGGAGGATTCTTCGGCAGTTCTTGAGTTCACTTACGATCCCGGCACGATTGGCTACTTCCATGAGCACTGCCACGGCACTTGCATTCCCGGATTCTGGCCGGGCGAGCGCAGGGAGTTCGGCACACTGTCCTTTCAGACTAGAAGTCACTTCCTGACGCGCAGCAAGCACTTCGGGGCGCAGGACGATCAGGAGGCGCTGCACGCGCAAGGAATCACCGGCAGCTACGCCTGGCTGCTGGCTCAGGCCGCCTACCAGGGCTTCAACACCTACAACGAGCTCACATACCCGCTCGTGGCGCAGACCGTGATCACGGATGGCCAGAAGTGGTCGTTCTACGCCTACCAGCTCAACACGCTGCTCCTGCACTCTCACCACATCCAGGAGAATCCCAGGGTGAACGAGTGCTGGGGCACGCGCGAAGAGAAGCTCTTCGACAGCGTGGATGACGCCGGAAAGCTCGTGGGCTTCAATCTGGAAGTGCTGAAGCGCCTCGTCGCCTTCTATTGCAACGCCCCGGCGAAGCGTGAAGGCGAGATGCGGCCGTACCTGGACGCCAAGGACCAACACGTGGCGGATATTGAGAATGTGGAGAAGAGAGAGTGGCTGGAGCGGACATTCAAGCACATCATGTCCAATCGGCCACTCAGCCGACAGATTCCGGAGATTTTCCACTGGGAGAGGATCTACATGATTGACAACAAGAAGCGCCAAATGGATCCGCTGCGCAAGTGGTGGCAGCTGCCGAAGAATCCCTTCCAGCGACGTCTGGATGATCACACGCCCAGATACATCCCGAAGGTGATCCGCCCTGGCGGCCCGAAGAGCAAGGACAAGTTCGAGAAGACACACTATCCGGACTGCTGAGTTTCACGCATTTGTCATAGTTTTGTAGTCCATTAAAGAAGGCTTTGAGGAGGATTTTCTGCTTTTTAGTGGCTTTTGACTGGCGGATTTGAAGTGGGGGAAATATTTCAGGAAATTTCGGGACAACAAATGGCGACAAATCACCAAACGAAATAGCCTGCTGTGATTTAGTGATGACTTTAAGTGCTTTCTTTTGAATCAAACCTCGATTAAATACTGATTCATTCAATATATTTACACAAATCGTGTCTAGAAAGTGCTGAAAAGGAATGACTAAATTTTATTCATGCAGAAAGTATTGAGAATTTCGCTCGTATTTGTATATTTGGTGTACAGATTTCAGCAAAATTATCTTTCCCTTGGAAATTCACGCGTAAATCACTGAACTCCTGCCGCAAAAGAACTGGTTTCTTGTCATCTTTGGGTCAAGAAATGTAATTGAAATATGAATAATGCAGTAAAATCAATAAAAAGCCAAAGTGATAGTAAAAGATATTGTGTATTTCGCTTTTTATGCACCCATTTTCTCACTTAATTGATCCACAGTGAATTGTCGAAAAGCGCGAAAGTGAAGCAAAGCATTCTGTCTGTTTAGCACGCCTTCTTGATCATTGCGAAATTTGCATCACAGCTGCATTTTTGGCCATTCTTTGGTGTTGAAGTTCGACTCTCGATTTCAAGTCATTCGCCCAATCTTCCAAATTCACATCAACCCAAATTTCTCTGCAACAATAAAAGAGTTGGAGAAAAAAAAATCCTAATGCGACCGTGCATTAGCCTGGAAATTGAGCCAAAATTGCTCGAATGGCGCGAATGGTTGAAAAGTGGTGGGAAAGGCGATCATCCATTGTTTTCTTATGCGCGCGAAGTCAAAAATCCATCAAGCAACGCATTTGAAGGCAAAAATCAATTTTACTTCTTTTCACCTATTTTTCCCTCCATTCATGCTGTTTTTCTCTCGTATACTTCTCCGGGGCGACACTTATGATTGTGTGTGCGAAATTTTTTTTGTGTATGCGCACTTTTTGAAATTAAGTAACCGTCGCCAATTAATTAAACTCTTTTTTTGTGCTTTTTTGTGCGCCACTTGTGCCACATAACGTGCGATTTCAATCGCGGCACGACTTTCTGGGCTGGACTTGAAGGGCACACACTCTCTCGATGATTTATCAGTCGACAATTCTAGCGCTTTAGCGCCGTGATTCTGGAAATCGTGGCCTTTCAGCACTTTGATCTCGATTCCAGAGGCCGCAAATGTGAATTTCATTCAAGCTTTTTCAGCTCAAAAGGGTCCAAATCGTCTCAATTCTCAGGCATTCGAGGGAAAAAGATCATGAGAAATTCTTCAATTTATAATTCTTGAGGAAGTTAGAAGTGAAACAGGCTCAGATTTCACTAAATGCTAAATTAGAAAATCTTCTTGTGACCTTATTTGTTATTTAAACTTCTCTAAAGTCTTTGTTTCTGTAGGAATTCCAATATATTAAGCATTTTCCGAGGCATTTTCGGTAAAAAAGTGTGATTTTTTGGGATCTTCTACATTTCGTTGTCATTTTCCTACAACAAGGATGTAGACGTAGAATAATGTAAAATACACCAAAAAAGGAAATTCCAAGTAAATTCATACAACAAAGATTCCAATTCCAATTCTACTGAATTTCACTCCGCTTTTAATCGAATTCTATAGCATTGATCGCATATTGATTGAAATTGAAACTTTCCAAGCATATGAACAGCATTTCTCGGCTCTGTTGCACAAGAACCTCGGAAGACCTCTTCAATGTCATCGTGAGAGCGCGTGCGGTGCGAATCGGAGGTCCAAAATCGCCTCCATTAGAAAATCAAATCCACAGGCGCGTTTGCCAATTTATCGCCTGAATAAGACTTTCAGTTGGTCTTTTTGGGCCTCTCGCCAAATCTTTCACCAAGCCACCGCGGTGCATTTTGCCCCCCGTAAAGCCTTGAGCGCCGGTCGGCGCGCGCTCCACTTGTCGCGCGAGGCCCATTCTTGCGCCTTCGCGCACCATTGAATTGCTCACTTGGAGTCGATTCTCGCGTCAGTTGAGCTTCTGGCGCGCAATCGAACGGTGGTTTGTGATCATGAGAGTCTCTGCAGTGCTTGTTCTTGCCACTCTGGGCTGTGCCCTGGCCCAGGAAGAGGCGCCCGTGGTGCGTTCCAAGCGCACGGCGCACTTCCTGCTGCACCAATTCGCCGATCTGCTCGGATACGACATCATCCCCAAGGCGGCCGTTGTCACGGACATTCGCTCGCGCCTCGGCCTGCCGTCGCTTCAGGGACTGGGCCAACAGGCCCAGAATCCTCAAACGCAGGCGCCACCGAACACTACGACAATGGGCAGCAGCACGACCACGCGACAAGGATCCACACCATCGCAGGCACCTGGCAAGACGCCCACTACTTCCGCCCAGGCACCACCGAGCTCCGAAGGCCCCGTGCGACTGCCTCTGCCGCTGAACATCCTCAACAGGCTCCAACCAACCGTGCCCATCCTCAATCCCGCTGTGCCGCCAATGCAAGGCCCCACGCCAGCGGCGCGCCTGGAACAGCCACCAGTGGCACTGCAGCACACCAATCTCAGCCTCAACTTCCTCTTCTCGAAGGTTCCGCCCAGCGCCCCCAGCGACGCCCCGGAGGCGCCATCCGCGCCCTCTGCGGTCTCTGCGCCCTCTGGACCTTCAGGACCTTTTGGCGTCACTGCGTCAGGTGAAACGCCAACAGGACCTTCGGCCGAGGACGACAATCCGCCGCGCTTCGTCGAGGACAATTACGTCTTCAACCCGAGAGACGCCAATGACGACGATGACTTCAATCCCAATCTTGCCTTCAGCGGCTGGCGGCCGCCCAGACCTGAGGACTTCAGCATCGAAGAGTCCAGCGAGGTGAAATACAATCCCGCTCCGTCGGCCAGGAGCATTCCTCTGGCTAGGAGCTCCACGCCCGCCAGGCTGGACCCCGTGGCATTGGCGCATCCGCACTCCAACTACATTTCCGCCTTCGTTCCGGGGCCACAGCATCGGCGTCGTTCGGCCACGAGTCAGCTCAGCTTCCGGACTAAAGGAAGCCAATATGGCTTCATAACGTACCACTAAAGCGCAGTGTGAAGTTTAGTCCAATTCCCCATGTTGTTCCTGGATTGAAACGGGTAAGATGGCGCCGAATTAATCAACCTGAAAAGTTTAGCAGTCAAAAACATTCTCGAGAAGTGATCAAAAATTGAAAAATTGGTGCTTTCATCAATTAAATTCTCTGAGCATGTCGATTTATTGCACAATTAATCTCTTAACTCCATTACAGGCGAAATGAAAAAGTAATCCAATTTCCCACTTTCAGAGATTCCACAGATCAGCAGTGCATTTTCGCAACAATCAATTTGCATTTCACCCTCGAGTGTCCACAGGAAAGTTCGCAAAAGTCGCTGGGGCGCGTCAATGTTTCCACTATCAATTAAAAAGTTAGATTAGGCGACTATCTTGGTACACAATCAACCTTCAGCAAACATATCATTTTCACCACTTTTCTGTCTCATTGTATTACCCAATCGAATAAATTAATTTGTATAAAATGCATTCTTTCCACGTCCCGTGCCTTTTTCTCTCTTTTCGCCCCGTCAATCAATTTGCAAATCACTTCGGTTCTGTCGAATTTTGCCCCGATATTATGTAAAAATATTGATATTTCTCAAGAGCGTGATCGCATTCGTTGCGCCGCCGAAAGTTTTTCAATTTGAATTGCGTATTCAAAATTTTGCAGAGAAATTTCCCAGCAAGGAAGAGGAATCATTGGGATATTTGTGATATTTGGAGAGAATTGCTCATGAATTCACGTGGATTGAGGTAAAGTTTGGTACACAGAATATTATTGTTCTATTGCAAGATCTATCGGCGAATTCGGTCTTTGGAAACACAGACCTGACATGAAGGTTAAACTCGAGGTTAAATCGGTTAAACGGGTTAAATTCTTTTATTTAGATGTTATCTTTGGCTGATCGCGTTCATAGCCAAATCCAGAGCTTTATTCAATTTTCGTGGAGTTAAAAAGAAAACAACTGAGAAGAAAAAGAAATGCTGAAAAGAGAAAAAGACTGTTGGAATTTCAAAACATACATGTCGCGTAATTAATCACTCGACTTTTCACCTTCACGCGTAGAGAATGAAATGGCAAAAGTACGCGTAGTAAAACATCTCAGCTGCCACTTTTCATTGCATGCGGAGTGTTTTGGTTTCTAAATCTCTCATTTTCTCGTGAATTTCCATCGTTTTACCACCTGTTTCGCTCGCAATGGCTCTGAGACTCGCGAAGCTGACCCAGAACATCGTGGCACCGGCGCTCAGCAGGGTAAATATCGGGGAAATCCTTGGCGTAATCCCTCAGTGTGAAGAGATTATGTAATTTGGCGAGTGAGACTCCCTGACCGAGACTTTTGTGCCCCTTTCAGGGCTACTCCGTGGCCGCCTCGGCTGAGATCCAGCACAAGAGTCCCCTGCAGAAGAAGATTGTGAGTATTCCTGGGCGTTTTTGCTGGAATTGTGGTGTGACAAGTGGTTTTTCCGCAGACGAAGATCCCCAACGCTCAGTACGGCGGAAGACACGCCGTGACGATGCTTCCGGGCGGCGGAATTGGTCCTGAACTGATGAACTACGTTCGCGATATCTTCAGGTAACGCTTCCTGCCCTGCTCCAGGACTGACCTACTTTCAGTCCCGGACAGTGTCTCGGGAAGAAGCGCATGGAAAGCAAACTGCCCTTGAAACGTCCGGACACAGATTTCTTCACGATGAATCCGAAGGATAAGAAAATATTGCAGAGCTTTTGAATGTGTTTCTTCTTATCACAAAAGTAGAATTATTTTTTTCGTCGAGATAAATTTGTGCAAATACTGAAATTTCATTCACAATTTAAGTGAAGTTTATGAGCAAATTCAACTCTCAAGGTCTCAATTTTCCACATGATTTTCTCGCTATTCACAAAATGCCTGCAATTTTAATTGCAAACTTCATTCAGAAGAAAAAAGCACTTTAATGTTACTGCATTTCTTTGGGCAATTTCAAGGTTTTCCACTTACAAATCGCATGATTTGCACTGCAATTCACTTTTGGGGAAATTTTGCGCTTATCTATTATTGAAGGAATTATTCACTTGAAACACTATTGCGTGTCTTTTTAACTGGATTGACGCGAGGAATTTGCAAATGCCTTGCAAAACCTCTTTCTATTGTACAATGTCTTATCTTTTTGCTGATCTTGAGGCAATTCTTGAAGAGATTCGCGGGATTGGGAGAGCTTTTATGCACTGAAACTTTGAGATTTATCGAGTTTCTCGTTTGATCTCTGACCGTTTGTCTTGGCATTGCAGCTACGCTGGCGTTCCGGTGGACTTCGAGGTGATCGAAATTGACGGTACGGAGGAGGGCAATGACGATCTGGACTACGCTATCACGTCGATCAAGCGCAACGGCGTGGCGATTAAGGGAAATATTGAGACGAAGAGTGAGGATGCGAGCGTGATCTCGCGAAATGTGGCGCTGCGCAATGAATTGGATCTGTTTGTGAATGTGATGAATTGCCGCACATATCCTGGCGTGCACGCACGCCATCCGAAGCCCATTGACATTGACATCGTGCGCCAGAACACGGAGGGTGAGTACGCGATGCTGGAGCACGAGAGCGTGCCCGGCGTGGTGGAGAGCATGAAAGTGGTGACGCGTGAGAACTCTGAGCGCGTGGCGCGATATGCCTTTGAGCACGCACGCGCGCACGGCCGCAAGAAGGTCACGACGATTCACAAGGCCAACATCATGAAGCTCTCCGATGGGCTGTTTCTGGAGGTGTCACGCGAAGTGTCGAAGGAATATCCGGAGATTGAGCACAATGACATGATCATTGACAATTGTTGCATGCAACTCGTGTCGAATCCCTATCAATTCGACGTGATGAACATGACAAATCTCTACGGCACGATCGTCACGAATGTGATTTGCGGCCTGATCGGCGGCGCTGGCTTGCTCTCGGGCAAAAACTACGGCGATCACTATGCGATCTTCGAGCCCGGCACCCGAAACACTGGAACTGCCATTGCAGGGAAGAATATCGCGAATCCCGTGGCGATGCTGAACGCCTCCGTGGACATGCTGCATCACTTGGGCCACAAGCATCACGCCTCGATCATCTCCGAAGCCATCTACAAGACGGTTGTGGAGGACAATCTGCGCACAAAAGGTGAGATCGCGTGAGATTCGCGCCTTTTTCATCTGCTGATAAGTCGATTTCTATAGGCAATTGGGTGTAATTACACTCCAGGCAAACGTGGCCCAGAGCGCCATAATTGGGTGTGGATTGATAACATTGATCGTGGAAAAGCCAGGAGATTTAATGCTTGCGGTGTTTGAATAAAATTGCTGCTTTTGCAGTGATTTTAGCTTGTTTTTGCTCATCCTTGATAGAATTTTCAATATTTTCAAGTGTGGAATTTACACATTGTTATCCAATTAATCCATTAGTATTTCAATCAATTTTCCTATTTGAGTGAAATGAGAATGAAAGAAAAATCTTTGCACTAGATTTGAATATTGAATAGAAATTCCATCTAATCTTGAAATAATAATCTTAATTTTTACTAAAATGTATTGAAAAATGATAATTATGTTTGTTTGTGTTAAAATATGACTTTTAAAACGGTTTTTGACAATTTATCAAGAATTGATTTAGCCAAGACACATTTTAATCAACTTTAAAAATCAATTCTTTGCTTTTTTACATGAAGTATAATGTTTTGCAAGACGAAAGGATATATTTTGTCTCTTTCCACTAGAAAATTACTGAATTTTTACGTAAAATCAAGAATTTTTCAGCAATTTTCCAAATTTTGCTTCAGCCAAGACACAATCGATCCTTCTTTTGAGTTTAATAATCTCAATAATAGACATTTTGTATTGAGAAGACTTTTTGAGGAAAGAACAAATGACTAAAAGTTACGTTTTTATTTACAATCTAAAAAATATTTGAATATCAATCAGATTTTTCAGATAATTATTTAGCCGAGACTCATTTTATCGTTGAAATGCTTTAAATTATGTTTTGAATTTGTACTTTTTGAGCTGCTTAGACGCCGATTTCTGTTTCTTTTAGTTATTTGCATGTAATTGTGTTCTGATTTGTCTTCAAACCCTAAATTTATCTCTATCTTCATCTTGAGTCTTCTCTCTGCTCCCAAATTTCTCAACTCTGATTTTGCCAGAGGGTGAAATTGCAGCATTTAACGCCCTTCTGCTTTGGGGATATTTTCAGACATTGGCGGAACGAGCAGCAGCAGCGAGATTGTCGACAACATCATCAAGCATCTCTCGACGAAGGTGACCCACTGGTAAATTTCATTTATCTCAATTTCCCCTCTGATAAACTGTCTCTCTCGGTTGGAGGCGTTTTCCATGATTTATCACAGCGGTTTTTCCCGTGGGAATCTGATAAGGAGTCCAAAAATGGCTCAAAAGGGAGCCTTTTCGGGTGGAAACTCTTGCGACGCAGCATCTCGAGGCATTCGCACGGACATTCTTTCACCCCATGTTTGTGTGTTTGCGCGTGGGTTTGAGGCACAATCCTGCGAGAGAGTCCTTTTGCCACAGGCATATCCTTGAGAATGGTGTGCGTGCTTTTGGCGAAATCCTTCCCAAAACAAACTAAGATTACATAATTGATATTAAAAAAAATTGAAATTGTCCTGCGACTAACTCCAGAAGTCTCCTTATAATTACATACAAATTGTTGTCCCTTTTTTGTATTTTGTGTATTACATAATATTTATGGTCATTTTTTATTAATCTCACCCATCTTTTCTCTCTCTCTTCTCTTTTTTCTCTCCCCAAACAGGCCCGTTGGAGTTGATTATACTAATTAGGCACGCAAAAAAAGCCAAAAAAAGAAATGAAACTTAAGAAACAATCCCCAGATAAGAAAAAAAGAATATTTATTGTTAATCAAAAGAAAGAAAAGAAAAAAAAACAAAAAATAACACTCTGAGATGCATTAAAAAAGAAATTCAAGAAACCCACCCATAAAACGGTTAATTGAATTAAGAGAGAAAAAAAGAAATGCTTATTGAAAAAAAAAAGATCAAGATGATGTGAAAAAGGTATGGATTGTAGAATTTGTCTTGTTACTCGTTACTTTTTCGTTAGTGTTTCTCTTTTAGTGAAAGAGTTCCTCATTGCGTTGACTTAACACCAAAATTTCATTGCTCGCTGTCCTTCACTTACCCCAGAAAATGCATGTTCGAACTGAAAATGGCGCATGAACGCATTTTTGACGCGAGAGGGCGCTCAATTGATCAGTTTAGCCGACATTTTGCCTGATATTAAGCTATTAAAAAACTTTAGAGGTTGAAATATTATGCTAAAATGGCAAATTTTAGTATAAATCAGTAAAGATTTCAATAAAATATACGGATTTTGAAGGGAAAAGAATTTTTCTCAATTGTTATTAGCTGATACACACGCATAAAATGTGTCTTTGCTAAAAAAAAATACATTAATCTTTAAAATTCCCAGAAATAATGGAAAAATGTTGAAATAAATATTTTCCTTGGCATTTGAATGAGAGTCAGAAAAACTATCGTATTTATTAGCAAATGAGGCAAAATTTCAGTGCAAATCGACGCCAAAGTGACCAATTGTGCGCCCCTTTCAAGCCCTTTCCAGTATCCAGAGGAAGTTAAATCTTCCCTTTTTGTGTTTGTCATGAGAATCATCCAGCAAATCTCTCGATAGTGTTGAGATATCTTCATTTGTACATAAGACAGAAAGTCCATTTGTCATTCCATTGGGAGGCGAAACGTCGCTTGCGAGACTCTCTTTTTGCCAGCGTGTGCGCGCCGAACAAACAAGAGTTCATCTAATTGATAGTCTCACGGTTTGGCAAAAGAGCAAACTTTTCGCACTCAAAAAAAGTAGAAGGTTGAATTTGGTTTAAAGTGCACTCGAATCATCAGCAAAATTCCATTTCATTCGCATAAATTCAATTTGGTGCGCCGAAGAAAATTCTCACAGAAAAGCCTTTTTGAGGATACATTTTTTTTCTGGTGAGCTCCAGAAAGCGTCAGCAGGAATGTAAATTCTTTTTGGATTTGTAATGAATTTCAGCGCATCTTTCTTCGCTCTCTGCATTTTTTCTCTCTTTCTATACATATTTACTTCTCTTCACCATGCAAAATCATTGATATTTATTTTCTATCTTATGCGCGAGTAAAAAATCACTCTTCTTTCGCCTGCAAATCGCCAAAAGTTGATGCTCGACAATCGCGAGCAACTTTGCTTTATTAATTAAATTAGATTTTGAGCTCTATTTTTGGAGAAGACATTGTAATCTTGGCGAGCACAGATAAAAAAGCTGCAAATTTAATTGATTTGCTCGCCTTGGACAGGATTGATGTGAATTAATTGATGTTTGTTGCCTCTTTCAGATCAATTTCACCGTGAAAATTATCACAAACCGATAATGGGATGCGTTAAAGTATTAAATAAGGAGAGTATAAATTATATTTGCAATTCGAATCTTGTTCTAGAAGAGGATGGAGGAAAAAAGTATATTTTGCCCGCCAAAGAAGTCAACAAATCGTCAACAAATTTTATTTGATGGATTTCTCAGCATTGTTATGATTAAAAGAGTGTTTTTGTTGAATTATGACTTTTAAACATGAGGAAAAAACTATGCAATTTCCGGGCATGTTTTGATGGGTTTTCCAAGAGAAAATCCACCGCTTGAGGATCTTTAGAAAATGAGAAATCGCGCCAAGTTCTACATAACCTCGCAATTTGCGAGCGCGGGAAAAGACGTTCCGCATCGAGGTACAGCACAGCGGAGCAAAGGTGAGAGAAGTCTTTTCAGGCGTAGAAAATGATTTGAAATTGCACCCAAAGCGTGCAAATGCAGACATAAAAGGCAACACAATCTCTCAATTTGCTGACAAATAACTTCTCTCTGTTTCCCACTAATTTTCACCACACATTTTCCCGCTTTTCACCGACTGGCGTCGCGTATTTCTACACTCGCGGTGTTTTTCTTACGCGACGCGTCGCCTTCTTGCGCGCGTCTTCGTTTTACGACACCTGCCAAAGCCAGTGACGAAGAGGCGAGAGAGAGTGACAGCGAGAAGATATCGTACGATAATTTTTTGTGTGTGTCTCGTCGCGAAAAAAAAGTGGTGCGATAGGGAAGAACGACGTGTTTCGAGATTCCCCTGAAGCGCGACACTGACTCCACGAGGTGTCCGGTGTGGGCAGATGCTCAGGTGATTGTCGTGCGAGTGGTGGTTCCCGGAAGAAGTGGTCGCGCAATTCGCAGTGCTGTTCCATAACCTTAACAACCTCTCTTCGTCCGGACGCAGTGCTATTTTCGTTCCCTGTGCCCTTCAAGCCCCATCTGCGCCTCAGGCGGCTGACCAAGTGTGTGATCTCGTGGCCCAGAGGAGCCGCTCAGTGTGTTCAGTGACTGTTTGGCAGGATTTCCGGCGACGTTCCTCACCGAATCCTCGCACAGAGCGAAGAATGAGCATTTGGGTCTCGGGAGCCCTGACGTGGTTCCTGGTCATCTCATGTGCGCTCGGCGGACGCGCTCACAAGTTACCAAGTCTGGCCGATGACTCAAGCAGTGACACAACATCCCCAGCTCACGCCAAAGCGCTCCCGCCCACTTTCGACATCGCATCCAACAGATCCAGTGAGTTTTCACGTGATTTTTCCCACCAGAAAATGCCTCACTTTACATAAGACGCATTGTCTCTCGCATTTGCGGGCTTCATTGGGCAATTCCACTTGCATTATCTAATTTTGGGGGTCACAAAGAGATCGCTGATAAAACGGGTTCTTCTGCGGTTTTGTGATTTAGAGCCAAAATAGCCGAATGGAATTTCTGTTTTCTTTTGCTGTTTATTTATGTGATTTAATATGCGCTGTGTCTGTCGATTTTGCTTCCATATTGCTAGCAATGCGTGATTTTGAACGAAGGAATGCTCCTAAAGCTCCGCCCATTCACATGCTCCGCCCCCAAAAGCTATTTTAACGCAAATAATTTGTAATTTTCGCGATTTTATTATGGCAATTTTGTGGGAAATCTTTATTCTTCTCAGCCTTTTGACCCTAATTAACTTCAATTAAAGGTTTTAGAATCATAGAAGGTTTGATTTTATATTCTTGACGATTTTTAAATTAAAACTCAACATAAATGGTGCATTTCTATAGCGACGCATCTTTTTCTTTAATCCTATTATCGTATCATCAGTGCTTATTTTTGGAAATATAAATAATTTTTGGCAAGACGATTTTTTGCATTCTCAATCCGCTTACAATAAAGAAGATTTATTGCTGTCATACGCTTCTTAGCAGTCAATAATTCTATAGAAATTCCACGTTCATATTTCTTAAAGAAAAAAAGTCTCCAATGCGACTCCAATTAAAGTTCATTCAGCTTCTGTTGAATTTCAACATTATTTGCGATTTTCTGCGTAGGTTCGGCTGAAAAGTGCGTCGAATTGAAAGACGAGTGACACAATAAATCTCGAGTCCAGCCCTCAAAGTGTCAATATTGGGTCAATATCTCCCATTAAAATCAAATTGTGCGGCACTCCAATAAAGCGTTCGTCCACTGCACACACTCGCGCACTCGAGCGTGATTTATTTATGAAACCTTATGCCCAGTTAATTGATAAAATTGTGCTGAAAAACAGGAGGCAGAAGAAGAACACTTCTGAGAGGTTCATAAGAGGTTGGCGGCTGTTTAAGTATAATTAGGCATTGGTTAGTGATTCACAAATCAGTGAATCTGGGGAAGTTTTTTTTTACGAGACTTGATGGCGATGGGAAAAGTTTGTTTGGGAAATTAGCATGGGGTGTGTTTTTACGGGAGGAAATTGCGATGGTTCACAGTTTCGGTGGAGGAAGTTGGGCGAGAGATAAGATGAGGAATGTCTTGTCTTGTGATAAAAATCTCTCGTGGAAGCCCTTCTTTGAGTGACACACCTTAAGAGATGTTTATCGCGTTGGGTTTTTTGAGGGTCAAGGCTTGTGAGAAGAGACCAATTGCTTGGGCGCGCGCGTTTTGGGAGGAAGAATTGTAATAAAAATTAGTCACTGTGTGATATCATAAATTTGTTCACTGGACCAGAGAAACGCGCCACAAAAGATCACAGACGGACACAGAAATCACAGAACTCGCCTGAGTCGTCACAATGCGAGATGGAATTAAATAAACACACACATGAGACCGAAATTACCCAAATGATTAATAGCGACAGTTGTATTAACATGGAACAAATTGGTAGTTTGTCACTCACACCACAGAAAAATTTCACGCTCACATGTCGAGATTCTGTAATGCATTTTTCCCACCCTCCGAAATTTTACTCATGAAAATTTCTGCTCAAGGGAGAAATATCTCTGCTTGTTTTTACTCATAATTCTGTCAATTTTCCTCAACTCTAATCAATAAATATTGTCATATTAGATAGTGACAAGTGTGATAACATTATCATCACTTCAGCTCAATTTAATAGCGATTAATCAGGATATTTATCATGGAAATTTTGATCATATAAATCATATTTAATTGTATTTAAAAGCCCCCAAAATTTATTCAGCACTGAAAACATCAAATGTTCAGATGTGAATTTAAATTGAATTTCATTTTGGAACTGAGCTTTTTATATGTTTTTTTTGTCTATAGAATAAAGAGAACGATTTCAATAAATTTCAACTTAATTTTCTTCATTTGAAAAACACTTCAAAATAATATATTTGATTATTTTCAAATATTGGATACAAAAAGTTTTGAAATTCACTGTTAATTTTATTTATTTGAAATTTTCACTATTACACAATTTCTGAAATAAAAACATTTTCAATAAAAATTCAAGGATCTGAAAGAAATCCTCATTTTCAGTCATAATTTTCAGATTTATTGGCAATTTCTCAATTTAATTTTAGTATTCACATTAATATTTACCCCTTGTTTCTGTCCATTTGCCAGGCTCCGAGTGCACATATCGGCAATTTCAGTGCACAGATGGTTCGTGCATTCACATGAGCTTCGTCTGCGATGGCGAAAATGACTGTCCAGATGGCAAGGACGAACTCCCGGAGGAGTGCAGTATTACAGGTAAAATCAAACTTTAATAAATGACCAACTTTGCAAAGTGTTTCACGCCAACACTGACCACCATGAATATCTGAACACAGACGAATGTAATACTTACAAGTGGAAATTGCCTTCATCTCCGGAATTCCTCATTGGATTTGACCTGATTCGCAAGGGAGGATTTCAGGGTGGGGAGGTAAAACTAACGATGAAAAATCTCTGCAAATTTTCCGTGAAGGAAAGCCCAGGAAATCATGTTATTCGACTTGATGTTCAACTTCCGTGACATGCCAAGAGGAATTCAGAATGGAGAGCAGATCGTTATGCTCATGAAAAATGCAAGCCTTTTCGTCGTTTAATAACTGCTTATAAAGATTGCAAATGGCGAGAGTGAAGAGAATTTTTATTTTTTAATTATTCCAGGTTTTTTTTTAACTCTTATCTAATTTTTGTCAATTGTATTAAGCAAAACATTTAAAAAATCTTAAATTTAGTTAGCAAATTATTGCCTACAACTATTTGGAAAAAAATAGACTAAAATTTAACTATAATTTTGACAGCCTAGTCTAACTGTCAGAATATCCGCCATTTTAAAAGCGACACAATAAAACCACTTCCTAATTACCTTTTAAGTTGATAAAATGTTTATTTTCGCCTATATTTGATACTTTTTATAACTGACAAGCGGCCATATTGGCAATTTGACAGTTGTTTTCCGAATGTTTAGAGAGAATTACTCCGGAAACATTCCGAAAATCACATTTCACTTTAAATGGCAAAAACACTGAAGATTGTGAACAGATTCGGATGAAATATTTCTGCTCTTGTGAATTTTTTTTTCTCATGTTTTTCCTTCTTATTTTTCTACGCGACCCATGAAAAAATACCAACGCTGGCGAATGAGAGGGAAAAGAAGATTATTTACAGGCAATTCCTGATATGCGACTAATGTCAATATTATTTTGGTTTACATAAATCAATATTGTGCCTCGCAAAATCCCCAATGAAATGTGCGCCGCGCGTCGGCATTCGCGTGCCAGCGAGTGTGAGTTGGGTGGAAAGGCAGGGAAATAGTGTTGGGATACTAATTAAACAAAACTTCATGGCAGAAAGTGAGACGGATGGAGATTCCTGGGCGCAGGAAGAGAGAGAGCGCGGTGTTATTTCAATTTTGCTAAAAGGTGTGCCAGAGCGCTCAGGAAGATGAGTCGAAGGAAATAATTAATATCTTACTCTTTTGCCTCTTGCCACTCATTATTGTGTCGGGGTTGCGAAAGAAATTTCCGGTGAATTTATTCCACTCTCAAATGCTCATCCGTAAGCCTCGGAGGGTGATATTTGGTGTGTGGGCGAAGAAATGTTGAGTACAGCACGTGCTCATTGAAGTGCAGAACAAAAGGAGTTGGAAATGCATTTTTCCTGCTTTCCAG